GCGGTACAGTACCGGTCCCTATCTTTCAGGGTTGTGCCCCCGCTCAGTGTACCTTCTCCGACGGCTCTGTCGCTGTGGCTGAGACTGCTGCTGCAGTGCAGTCCCGCTCGGCGAAGGGCCGCCGCCCCAAGGTTGGGAGCGGCGGAGGCGGCGGGGGTGCGGGTGGGGGTAGTGGTGGAGGCGGGTCGTCCGGTGCCGGTGCGGACGTGGGGACCCTGCCCGGTCCAGCTGCCCCGCTGCCTCCACAGTTGCAGCAGCCGCAGCAGCAGCAGTCGCCGCAGCCGCAGCCTTCGCAGCAGCCGCAGCAGCCGCCGCAGACGAGGCAGGCGAGTACTCTCCCACCTGGGTGGCCTGGAGCTGGTGGTGGTCGTGTGCACCGGGTGGTGGTTCTGGAGGCGGGCCCTGTCAGTACCAGATCCAGACCGGTCCTCGCCGCGGCTTCGTTTGCGGTAAGATCGGTCATTCTACTCCTCGCTGTTTTCGTCGCCTGGACGACCTGTTCCGCCAGCGCTTTGGCCCGGCGCCCGACCTCCCGGACTGGCACAGCTTGCTTAGGCGTAGCATTAGGATTTTTGACTTGGACATGGATGCCATTGTAGCGGCCTTGCATGTGATGTATGCTGATGACTCTAGTGTGCTTCCCTCTTATTACCCCGTGTTGCCTAGTGTAGCGGTGCCTAGCGTAGACTCCCCTGCTGCGTCAGGCGTAGGATCTCCTGCTTTGCTTAGCCTTGGTGCTTCCACCGCTTCACTGCTGCCTCGCGCGACTGCTGCGCTTTCCTTCACCTTGGACTCTGGCGCCTCCCGGTGTTTCTTCCGCGACTCCACGACGCTGACGCCGCTGCCTGTTCCCGCTGCAGTTACTCTTGCTGACCCCTCCGGTGGTCCCGTCGTTGCCCGCAGTTCCACCTCCCTTCCCTGTCCGGCGGTTCCTTCGGGCACTCTCACAGGTCTGCATATCCCCTCGTTCTCCAGGAACCTAGTTGGTGTCGGCTGCCTCCAGGACCTTGGCGTCACCACTACGTTCCCTGGTCACGAGCGGTATGCTGTCTGTACCGAGGCCGCCACTGGTGCCCCCCTTACCACTTTCCCCCGGGACCCGGTGTCCGGCCTGTTCACACTTGACACCGCGCCGTCCCCGGCTGGGTCTTCCCCCCGGTAGTGCGTCCACCCAGGTTGCAGCCGCGTGCTCCTGTCGGTCCCTCACTCACCCGACTCTCCTTTGGCACCACCGCCTTGGTCACCCTGCACTCCCACGTCTGCGTCACATGTCCCAGCACGGTCTCGTCCTTGGTCTCCCCGGTTCGTTCCCCGAGTTTCCCTCCTCCCCCGCCCCACCGTGCACGCCTTGTGTCGAGGGCCGGCTCCGCCGTGCCCCTCACTCCTCCTCTTTTCCCCCTACCACCGCACCACTGCAGACTCTGCACATGGACGTCTGGGGCCCAGCCCCGGTCCATGGGCCGCGTCGCGAGCGCTTCTTCCTAGTGCTTGTCGACGACTTCACGCGCTACACCACCGTCTTCCCCCTGGAGCGGAAGGCCGACGTGCCTGACGTTCTCATCCCCTGGCTTGTCTCTGCTCGTGTCCACCGCGGTCTCCCTGCCTTGCGCCTTCACTCCGACCGGGGTGGCGAGTTTGCCTCAGGTGTCCTTGGTCGCTTCTGTCGTGCGGAGGGCATCACCCAGACGTTTACCCTGCCGGACTCCCCGCAGCAGAATGGGGTCGCTGAGCGACGCATCGGTTTGGTCATGGAGGTGGCTCGCACCTCCATGATCCACGCCGGTGCACCCCATTTTCTGTGGCCGTTCGCCGTGCGCTACGCCGCTCACCAGCTTAACCTGTGGCCGCACCCCCAGCGCGCCGCAGGTTTCGCCGACCCTTCTGTGGACCGGGTCCCCTGGTGACGCGTCTGCGTTCCGCGTCTGGGGCTGCCTTGCTCACGTTCGTGCCTCTGGCACGGACAAGCTCACTGCCCGCACCCTCCCCTGCGTCTTCCTCGGTTTCCCCCTTGACGCGTCCGACTGGCACTTCTACCACCCGCCGTCTCACCGCTTCTTTCACTCTCGCGACGTCACCTTTGACGAGTCCGTCTCCTTCTACCGCCGCTTTCCCCACCGTGGTCCCCCGGTTACTCCCCCCCTTTTCCTGGTTCCTCCCTCCCTGGTGGTCCCTGCCCCTCCCCCCCCCCGCCCCCCCGTCCGGCCCCCTCTGGTGTGTCTCACGTCACCCCCCTCCCGTCGGTCGTCCCGGTCGACGAGTCTTCTGACTCTGGTAGTCCTCCGGCGCAGTCCTCGCCGTCTGTCCCTCCCCCGGTGTCTCCTCCTCCACCGCCTCCGCAGCCGCCGTCGCGCAGCTGCTGCAGCCGTCGTCTCCCACCGCCGCCGCCGTTGCAGCCGTCGTCTCCGCCGCCGCCGCCGTCGCAGCCGTCGCTGCAGCCGCCGCCCCGCCGCTGTCGTCGCTGCCGCCGTTTGTGGACTCTGGGGGTGTCCCTTCTGGGGTGCAGGTGTGGAGGTTCGGAGGTAGCCGTCGCGCAGCTTGTGGCCCTGGTGTTGTGTTGTGTCGCCGCAGCAGCAGTCCCCGCCTGTGTCCGCCTCCGTCTGCTCGGCCTTCCGTCTCCTGACCCTGCGCCTGTTCCTCTCCTGCCGTCTCCCCTCTTCCCTCTACGGCCCCGTGTTCCCTCTGCCAGACTCGTCCCCGGCTCGTCTTCCCCCTCGTTCCCCTCCTGTGTCCCCTCCTCTGTCTCCTGACCCGACGCCGCCCTCACATGTCTGGTCTCGCCGCCCCTCTCCGTGCTCGTCCTGTCTCCCCTGTCCCGCGCTCTCACCCTATGTTGCTCCGTTCCCACGCGTCTCGACCTCCCCTCCTCCCGTCTCCTCCTCCGTCTTCTCTTGTCGTGCGTCTCCTCCTCTGTCCGACTCCTTTCGTGCCGCTTGTCCTCTGTTCCTCGGGTCCTTGCCTCTCTCGTTACCGACCCGTCTGTTCCCGTGTCGAGTCTTGACGCCCTCGTCGCTGCGGTCGCTGACTTCGCCTCTACCCGCCGCCTTGACTACGCCACCGCTCTGGTCTCTCACCTGCCTGTCCTCCGTCTGTCGGGGGTGCTCCTGCCCTCGGCAGTGACGTCCTGGAGGACCGCCAGTTTGAGCTTGCTTTCCTGTCCGAGGCTGCTCCCCATCTCTGTTCCATGCTGCTAGTCCCTGAGGGTGACCCAGACGCTTTCGACATCCCGACCCCTCGTACTTACGCTGAGGCGTTTCGGGACCCTGGGCCTCTCAGTGGATAGCTGCCATGGAGCAGGAGATGGCATCTTGGAGATCCACCGGCACCTTCGTCGACGCAGTTCCCCCACCTGGGGTGAACGTGGTCGATGGCCGTTGGCTCTTCAAGGTGAAGCGCCCTCCTGGAAGCCGCCTGTGTTCAAGGCGCGCTACGTGGCTAGAGGCTTCAGTCAGCGCGAGGGGGTGGACTTCTTTCAGACTTTCGCTCCTACCCCGAAGATGACTACTCTTCGGGTGCTGCTACACGTAGCGGCTCAGCGTGACTACGAGCTTCACTCCCTCGACTTCTCCACTGCCTTTCTTCAGGGCAGCCTTCACGAGCAGGTCTACCTACGTCGCCCTCAGGGCTTTACTGGCACCTTCCCCCCTGGACCCAGTGGCTTCTGCGGCGGCCAGTCTACGGCCTGCGCCAGGCGCCTCGTGAGTGGCACGACACTTTGCGTGCTACCCTTGCTGACCTGCAGTTCTTTCCGTCCTCTGCAGACCCCTCGCTCTTCGTTCGTGCTGGCTCGACTCCGTTCTACATCCTCGTCTACGTAGACGACCTGGTCTTTGCCACTGCTGACAGGGACGCACAAGCCTCCGTGAAGGCAGAGCTGCTGAAGAGACACACCTGCACTGACCTTGGAGAGCTGCGCCGTTACCTTGGCTTGCAGATCTCCAGGGACAGAGCCGCGAGCACCATCACCCTGACTCAGTCACACTTGGTGCGCCAGGTCCTTCAGAGGTTCAGCCTTCAGTTCTCCTCCGCACAACCCACCCCTCTTCCTCTGGACCACAGACTCTCCGCTCCAGTTCCTGAGGAGTCGGTAGATCCCAGTGGTCCTTACGCTGAGCTAGTGGGTTGCCTCATGTACCTGATGACTTGCACTCGCCCAGATCTCGCATACCCTCTCAGCATCCTGGCTCGTTTCGTGGCCACAGGCAGGCACCGACCTCAGCACTGGTCTGCCGCTAAGAGGGTTTTGCGTTATCTTGCAAGTACATCGGGCATGGGGTTAGTGCTAGGCGGACGCAGGCCAGTGTCCTTACTGGACACACAGACGCTTCTTGGGCAGACGACGCCGAGACGCTCAGGTCTTCCCAGGGCTACTGCTTTAGCCTTGGTTCAGGTGCTGTCTCGTGGAGAGCTACCCGCTCTTCGTCTGTTGCCCAGTCCAGCTGTGAGGCCGAGATCTACGCCGGTGCCATGGCGGCACAGGAGCTCCGCTGGCTGACCTTCTTGCTCACTGACTTAGGTGAGCGGCCTAGCTCTGCCCCGGTCCTGTACGCTGACAACAGGGCCATGATCCTCCTGTGTCAGGAGCCTCGACTCGAGGGCAGAGCGAAGCACATCCAGCTGCAGGTACTTCCTCCTGCGTGAGCTACAGCAGCGTCGCCAGGCTCGCGTAGTACACTTAGCCTCCCGGTGCCAACACAGCTGATATCTTTACGAAGGCGCTTGCGCCTAAAGATCATCAGCGGCACTGTGTGCAGCTTGGTCTGGTTCCTGTAGTCTCTCACTTACTCGGGCCTTGACTCTGTACTGTCCTATATATCTGTGTGTACACTCAGACTGGACTTGTGTCCTCTTACAGTGGTTGGACTAGTAGTGCCGCCCTGTACTAGTTCTTGCCTTGCCTGTACTCCTTCTGACTGGTCTTTTAGACCCTTGTCTCAGAGGCTGGACTAGTAGTGCCACCCTGAGCTGCTTGTCTAGAACATTCCCCTATGCAGTCCAGGGGGGTGTGTCAAACATGTTTAGTTATCATGCTTGTATAGACTGTATAGGGTTATCTTCTAGAGAGTACAACATTTAGGTATATGTTTGTGTACTCTCTCTCTCTATTCATCAATTTCACTGTTTGTTACTCTGGTGTTCCTATATCTTGGCTTGCCATTCCTTGTATGGTCATTCATTGAGTGAACACTTCGTTATTCATTTCCGCGCTACTCTGCTTGTTCATTCATAACACCTGGTATTCAGAGCCACTTTCCTCACTCACCCGTTTTCGTGAGTTGATTTTTTTGGGGGGGGGGGTAGGTCCCTCACGTAAGCTGCAAAGTGGTTGCTCGCGAATTAGATTGATTAATTCGGCGCCAACTACGATAGCGTTTGCGCTTACCTGAGTACAGGCACACGACGGATTCCCCTGCCCCGGCGGAGCATTCGCCAAATGGACCAAGCTCAGTTCAACGAGCTTCGGGAGCAGGTTTCAACGCCCATGAACACACGCATGCTACAGTGCTGGAGGACAACGAGCGACTTCGTGCGGAAGTTGCTGAGTTACGCCAGGCGCGAGAGGATTCGCGTCAGAAAATTGCCGCCCAAGAGGAGGTCGCCAGCACCGGACGTGTCGAAACCGTTTTGGACCAAATCGCACGTCAGGTGTCACAGGAGCGCAAGGACAGTGAAGCCGCCGCAGCAGCTGACGTGGCAGGCACGAAGCAGCAGCCGAAGCAGCAAGCAGCAGCCGGCTCGGTCAGAAGCAGCCGCTACTGTAGCCGCACCGGCGTTTATGCCGATCGTGACAACAGCGACGATCAAACCGACAATGCCGCCCCCGTTCAACCCCACGGATAAGAATACTACTGTTACGGGCTGGTTATTCTCGGCGGAACTTTATTTTAATGCTGCTGGGATCACTGCTGACGATTTAAAATTCGACTGGCTGTATCACTACTGCGGGGACCTGCGCTAGATTGGTGGCGATATACTCTACAGGAGGGGGAGTTTTCGGCAGGCGACACACAGGGGTTTTTCAGAAACTTTGGGTCTGCTACCCAAGGGTCAACCGCGATTTTTGGATCGACCAAGATTCGCACGTGGAAGGCGTGGGGTACAGCTCTGCGTGAACGTTTCGAGCCAATATCCGCCTCGGACAACGCACGCACGAAGTTGGACAACTGGCGCCAGTGGAGTTCTGTCCAGGATTACGCGTCGGTCTTCATGGCGTTATGCGACCAAATGACCGACATGCATGACTCCGAGAAGAAGCTCGATTCATTTCGGTCTGAAGCAGGACATTAAATGCGAGGTCCGACTGCGACTGCCGGCGGCGTTTCACGAAGGCGTTCGGATCGCAGACAACTTCGACGCGCATCGGGCGTATGCGAGAGCGGGTTCCCGGGAGGGAAATCGTTTTCGTGGCCAGAATCCACGGCCCACGATTCACGCGTAGTGGCGAAGGAGCACATGGACGATTTTCGCAAGGGCCAATGTTTCAACTGCCACCAGCCGGGTCACCAATCTCACGATTGCCCCTGAAAGAAGCAGATAAAGAAGAACGACGAGGACAGGTCGGGAAACGCCAAGCGTCAGTAGCGGTCAGGCCCCCTACTGACCTGCCTCATCGCCCGAAAAACAGCATCCCCCACCGAGTAGTGGTTCCGATACATGCTATCAACTGCTTCCGGCTGAAAAAGGAGGATGACCCAGTGGACCACCCTGTACTGGCGGAAGGACGACTTCATGGAAGAAAAATACAATATTCATCGACGGAGGTGCGAGTCACTGCCTGATAAATCGAGAGACAGCACGACGACTACACCTGACGCTGGAGCGGTGTCTACCCGAAATCGACGCGCGATTGGTGGACGGCACCCCGCTGGCGATACGCGACAAAGTACCTGTCGTTCGAATGAAGTGTGGCGAAGATTTTGGTTTCAGCGCGCCGATGCTGGCGACAACGCTCGACGGCTACGACGTGCTATTGGGACGCGATTGGCTGCGAAGATTCAACCCGCAAATCGACTGGACAACAGGCGAGTGCACAGTGAAGTGCGACAAAGGTTGGCGAAATTACCCACGTGGCCGGAAGCAGAGACAACATCGACACGAGTCAACGCAGTGTGCCTCAATCGAGCGGTCAAGAATGGAGCGGATTTATACGCCGTCCATCTAACCGAATCGACGGAGCAGAATGAGGCGACCGACATCAACAAACTCTGCGATTCGGTCCCGGATGACTTGGCGAAAATCATTCGAGAATATCCTGAGATCTTCCCGGACGACTTGCCAAGTGGACTGCCACCCGAACGACCCAGGACCACAAAATCGAGCGGAGCCCGGCGCGCAGCCTACTGTACGCACGCAATGGCGCCTGACTCAGCCGAAGCTACAGGAGCTACGAAACCAGTTGGACTACCTGCTGGCGAAAGGGTTCATTCGGCCGAGCATGTCCCCGTTCGCAGCACCGATCCTGTTCACACCAAAAAAGGACGGTGGACTTCGCATGTGTACGGATTATCGTGCCCTTAATCGGGTAACGATTAAATCGCGCTACCCAATCCCACGAACGGACGAACTGATCGACAACCTTCGCGGAGCTCGTTACTTTTCGAAGATCGACCTTCGTGGCGGTTACCATCAAATTCGAGTGTTCGCGGACGACTGCCACAAGACCGTGTTTCGTACTCGCTATGGGAGTTGCGAATACACGGTGATGCCGTTTGGATTAACGAACGCCCCCTCGACGTTTCAACTCACCATGAATGGGGTATTCCGCGATCTACTCGACAAATGCGTAAACAGCAAGACCCGGGAGTAGCATTTAAAAGATTTGGAAGCCGTTTTTCAGCGGTTGCAGCAGCATCGACTCATCACCAAGGGCTCCAAGTGCGAGTTTTTAAAACAAAAACTGGAGTTCCTGGGGCATGTGATCTCCACGGAGGGGATTCGAATAGACCCGAAAAAACTCCGGGCTATTCAGGAGTGGAAACCGCCAACAAATCTGCAGCAGCTGCAATCATTTCTGGGTTTCGTGAATTACGTACGGAGGTTTATACCCAACATGGCGGGGTTAACTGGACCTCTAACTGACCTACTGCAGAAGGGGACTTTTTACGAGTGGGGGGAGAAGCAGCAAGCTGCGTTCGAGGCATTAAAAAATCTTTTAATGTCGCCACCAGTACTTCGCATCGCTGACCCGGAACGGCCCTTCGAAGTCATCACCGACGCAAGCGACATCGCCATCGGAGCAGTGCTCATGCAGGATTTCGGCAACGGGCTTCAACCAATCGCGTACGAGTCTCGGAAAATGCAATCTGTTGAGCGCAACTACCCAGTACACGACAAGGAGATGCTGGCGATCGTCCACGCGTTCAAAATCTGGAGGTGCTACCTGACTGGAGCAGACGTGACGGTGCGAACCGATCACAAATCATTACAGTTTCTGAGGGCACAGCCGAATCTCAACCCGCGGCAGATACGCTGGCTGGACTATCTGGAGTCGAACTTCACGTACAAGATCATGTATAAAAAGGGTGCCAACAATATTGCCGACGCCCTTTCCAGACCATCTGCCCAACTCGCAGCAGTACTAGTCGCCCAGAGCAACCCGCTACTGAGTGGACTATTTACCCACGGGTATTCGACTGACCCCTTCTTCGTAAACGACGGCCATCTCCCAATCACTACGCGGAAAGGCGTCTATTACTTACGAAGCGGGACTGATCGAATTTGGGTCCCAAGTTATCGTCTACTTCGCGAATTACTAATTCAAGAAGTCCACGATTCGAATTTATCGGGACATTTCGGGGTTGATAAAACTCTGAAGGCGTTGCAGCGGTTTTATTACTGGCCAGATATGGTGACGGACGTGCAGCGTTACGTGGTCGCGTGTCCGATCTGCCAGCGAATGAAGTCGTCACACCAGCGGCCCACAGGACTACTGCAGCCCCTCGAGCCACCTCAACGCCCATGGCAACACGTAACGATGGATTTCGTTACGGGACTACCGGCCGGACCCAGCGGAAACGACGCAGTGTTGGTTGTCGTCGACCGATTGACGAAAATGGCGCATTTTGCACCATGTCGTACAACCATCACAGCCGAAGAAACAGCGCGCCTGTTCATCTCGACCGTCGTTCGCCTACACGGGATACCAGCAGCAATCATTAGCGATCGAGATCCGAAGTTCACGTCCAAATTCTGGCAGGACACGTGGGCTCGGTACGGCACGCGCCTACAGTTCTCATCCGCGTATCATCCACAAACGGACGGCCAGACGGAAAGGACAAATCAAACAATGGAGCAGCTGATTCGGACAAACTGCCCCGACCGAAACAAATGGGAGGACGTGCTGCCCATGTTGGAATTTTCCTACAACAACGCGCCCTCGGCTACGACTAATCACTCCCCGTTTTACCTCAATTACGGGATGGACCCTACAGTGCCAATCTCCACCAACGTTGAGAGTCAAGTACCACGATCACAGCAGTTCGTCGAAGAACTACAGACTGCCCGCGACAAAGCTGTCGAACTTATTCGCAAGGCGAACGCAACTGCCCGACGGTATACGGATTTACATCGCCGGGATATTACGATGACAGCGGGGCAACTAGTCCTTTTGGACACCAAGAATTTACGACTGCCACTACCGACAAAATTGCGACCACGTTTCTGTGGCCCATTCAAGATCGTGAAGATCGTGACGCCGGTGACCGCCCAGTTACGCCTACCTGATGACTGGCGAATTCACAACAAATTCCACGTGAGTCTGTTGCGACCTTTCGTTCCTGACACGTCGGACATCGCTCGACAGCGATTGGTTCCAGACGTACGGCCACCAGCGGAGACGACCATCGAGCCTTCGAAGATCTTGAGCCATCGGATTCGTATCGATGGTCACGGACGACACGTTGACTTTCAGATACGATGGACGAATCGTACCAGTGAGGACGACACGTGGGTATCAGAATTAGAGAAGTGAATTATGGTAGAGTGAGAGTACACACAGATATACCTGAGTGTTGTACCCTCTAAGAGGTGACCCTATACAGTCTATACAAACATGACAAATACACATGTTTGACACACCCCCTAGACTGCATAAGGGAATGTCCTAAACAAGCAGCTCAGGGCGGCACTACTAGTCCAACCTCTGAGACAAGGGTCTGAGAGACCAGTCAGAAGGGGTACAAACAAGGCAAGAACAAGAGCAGGGCGGCACTACTAGTCCAGCCACTGGGAGAGGACACAAGTCCAGTCTGAGTATACATATAAAGGACAGTACAAAGTCAAGCTCCTAGCAAGTGAGAGGCTACAGGAACTAGACCAAGCTGTACACAGTGCCGCTGATGATCTTTAGGCGCAAGCGCCTTCGTAAAGATATCAACCGTGTTGGCACCTGAGGCCAAGTGTACTACGCGAGCCTGACGTCGCTGCTGTAGCTCACGCAGGAGGAAGTACCGCAGCTGAATGTGCTTCGCTCTGCCCTCGAGTCAAGGCTCCTGACACAGGAGGATCATGGCCCTGTTGTCAGCGAACAGGACCGGGGCAGAGCTAGGCCGCTCACCTAAGTCAGTGAGCAAGAAGGTCAGCCAGCGGAGCTCCTGTGCCGCCATGGCACCAGCGTAGATCTCAGCCTCACAGCTGGACTGCGCAATAGACGAGGAGCGGGTAGCTCTCCACGAGACGGCACCTGAGCCAAGGCTGAAGCAGTGTCTCGGCGTCGTCTGCCCACGAAGCGTCTGTGTGTCCAGTAAGGACCACTGGCCTGCGTCCTCCTAGCACTAACCCCATGCCCGATGTACTAGCAAGATAACGCAAAACCCTCTTAGCGGCAGACCAGTGCTGCGGTCGGTGTCTGCCTGTGGCCACAAAGCGAGCCAGGATGCTGAGAGGGTATGCGAGATCTGGGCGAGTGCAAGTCATCAGGTACATGAGGCAACCCACCAGCTCTGCGTAGGGGCCGCTGGGCTCTACCAACTCCTCAGACACTGGAGCAGAGAGTCTGTGGTCTACAGGCAGAGGGGTGGGCTGTGCAGAGGAGAACTAAAGGCTGAACCTCTGAAGGACCTGGCGCACCAAGTGTGACTGAGTCAGGGTGATGGTGCGCGATGCTCTGTCCCTGGAGATCTGCAAGCCAAGGTAGCGGCGCAGTTCTCCAAGGTCAGTGCACGTGTGTCTCTTCAGTAGCTCTGCCTTCACGGAGGCTTGTGCGTCCCTGTCTGCTGTGGCAAAGACCAGGTCGTCGACGTAAACAAGGATGTAGAACGGAGTCTGGCCAGCACGAACGAAGAGTGAAGGGTCTGCGGAAGACGGAAAGAACTGCAGGTCAGCAAGCGTAGCACGGAGAGTGTCGTGCCACTCACGGGGAGCCTGCCGCAGGCCGTAGACGGGGCGCCGCAGGAGCCACTGGGTCCCAGGAGGGAAGGTGCCAGTAAAGCCCTGAGGGCGACGCAAGTAGACCTGCTCGTGTAGGCTGCCCTGAAGGAAGGCAGTGGAGAAGTCGAGGGAGTGAAGCTCGTAGTCACGCTGAGCAGCTAGGTGTAACAGAACCCGAAGAGTAGTCATCTTCGGGGTCAGAGCGAAAGTCTGGAAGAAGTCCACCCCCTCGCGCTGACTGAAGCCTCTAGCCACATAGCGCGCCTTGAACACAGGCGGCTCTCCAGGAGGGCGCTTCACCTTGAAGAGCCAGCGGCCATCGACTACGTTCACCCCAGGCAGAGGAACTGCGTCGACGAAGGTGCCGGTGGATCTCCAAGATGCCATCTCCTGCTCCATGGCAGCTATCCACTGTGAGGCCCAGGGTCCCGAGGTCGCCTCAGCGTAAGTGCGAGGGGTCGGGATGTCGAAAGTGTCTGGGTCACCCTCAGGGACTAGCAGCATGGAACAGAGATGGGGTGCAGCCTCGGAGAGGAAAGCAAGCTCGAACTGGCGGTCCTCCAGGACGTCACTGCCAAGGGCAGGAGCACCCCCGACAGACGGAGGACAGGCAGGGTCGGAGACCAGAGCTGTGGCATAGTCAAGGCGGCGGGTAGAGGCGAAGTCAGCGACAGCAGCGACAAGAGCGTCAAGGCACGAGACCGGAACAGACGGGTCGGTAACGAGAGAGGCAAGGACCCGAGGAACAAGGAGACGAGCGGCACGAATGTAGTCAGACAGCGGGGGGGGTGCAACAACAAGGGAGGATGGGGGAGGCGACGGCAGAAGGGGAGGACGAGACGCGTGGGAACGAAGCAGCATAGGGTGGGAGCGCAAGACAGGCGAAGCAGGACGAGCACGGGAGGGACGGGTCAGGGGACAGGGGAGGGGACACAGGAGGGGAACGAGGGGGGAGACAGGCCGGGGACGAGTCCGGCGGAGGGAAAACAAGGCCGTAGACGGGAAGAGGAGGAGACGGCAGGAGAGAGGACGGAAGGCCGAGCAGGCGAAAAGCTGACACCGGCGGGGACTGCTGCTGCGGCGGCACAACGGCGACACCAGGACCGCAAGCTGCTCCTCGGCTACCACCGGCACTCTCCACACCAGCACCCCCAAAGTCAGCGAACGGGGGCTGCGACGGCGGCGGCGGCGGCGGCGGCAGCGACAACGACGGCTGCAGCGGCGGCAGAGGCGGTGGAGGAGGGGACTGGAGAGGGGATGCTGGGGGAGGGGCGGCCGGCGAGGACTGCACAGGAGGGCCACCAGAGTCAGAAGACTCCTCAACCGGGTCCTCCGACGGAAGGGGGGTGACGTGGGACACGCCAGAGGGGGCGGGATGGGAAGGAGGAGGAGGAGGGGCAGGGACTACCGGGGAAGGAGTGACCAGGAACAGGGGGGGGGTAACCGGGGGACCACGCTGGGGGAAGCGACGGTAGTAGGGGACGTACTCGTCAAAGGTGACGTCACGAGAGTGAAAGAAGCGGTGAGACGGCGGGTGGTAAAAGTGCCAGTCGTACGCGTCAAGAGGAAAACCGAGGAAAACTGCTGCTGCGACGGCGGCAGGAACGACGGCTGCGACAGCAGGGGCGACGGCGGCTGCAGAGGCTGTGGGGGGGGAGCCACCGGGGGAGGGGAAGACGGCGAGGACTGCGCCGCAGGACCACCAGATTCAGAGGACTCCTCGACCGGGACAACTCACGGGAGAGGGGTGACGTGGGACACACCAGAGGGGGCAGGACCAGGAGGTGGAGGGGGGGGGGCAGGGACCACCGGGGAAGGAGTGGCCAGGAACATGGGGGGAGTAACCGGGGGACCGCGGTGGGGGAAGCGACGGTAGAAGGAGACGGACTCGTCAAAGGTGACGTCGCGAGAGTGAAAGAACCAGTGAGACGGCGGGTGGTAGAAGTGCCAGTCGGACGCGTCAAGGGGGAAACCTAGGAAGACGCAGGGAAGGGTGCGGGCAGTGAGCTTGTCCGTGCCGGAGGCACGAACGTGAGCAAGGCAGCCCCAGACGTGGAACGCAGACGCGTCACCAGGAGACCCAGTCCACAGACGGGTCGGCGAAACCTGCGGCTGCTGAGGGTGCGGCCACAGGTTAAGCTGGTGAGAAGCGTAGCGCACAGCGAACGCCCATAGAAAATGGGGTGCACCGGCATGGATCATGGAGGTGCGAGCCACCTCCATGACCAAACAGATGCGTCGCTCAGCGACCCCATTCTGCTGTGGGGAGTCCGGTAGGGTGAACGTCTGGGTGATGCCCTCCGCACGACAAAAGCGACCAAGGACACCGGAGGCAAACTCGCCACCACGGTCTGAGTGAAGACGCAAGACAGGGAGACCGCGGTGGACACGCGCAGAGACAAGCCAGGGGATGAGAGCGCCAGGCACGTCGGCCTTGCGCTCCAGGGGAAAGACTGTGGTGTAACGAGTGAATTCGTCAACAAGCACAAGGAAGTAACGCTCTCGACGCGGCCCAGGGACGGGGGCGGGGCCCTAGACGTCCAGGTGCAGGGTCTGCAGCGGCGCGGTGGTAGGGGGAAACGAGGAGGAGTGAGGGGCACGGCGAAGCCGACCCTCGACACAAGGCGTGCAAGGTGGGGCTGGGGAGGAGGGAAACGCGGGGAGAGAACCTGGGAGACCAAGGACAAGACCGTGCTGGGACATGTGACGCAGACGCGGGAGCGCAGGGTGACCTAGGCGGTGGTGCCAAAGGAGGGTCGGGTGAGTGAGGGACCGACAGGAGCAGGCGGCAGCAACCTGGGTGAGCGCTCCAGCCGGGGGGGTCACGGTGTCCAGAGTGAACATGCCGGACACCGGGTCCCGGGGGAACGTGGACAGGGGGGCACCAGTGGCGGCCTCGGTACAGACAGCATACCGCTCGTGACCAGGGAACGTAGTGGTGACGCCAAGGTCCTGGAGGCAGCCGACACCAACTAGGTTCCTGGAGAACGAGGGGATATGCAGACCTGTGAGAGTGCCCGAAGGAACCGCTGGACAGGGAAGGGTGGTAGAACTGCGGGCGACTACCAGACCGCCGGAGGGGTCAGCAAGAGAAACGACAGCAGGAACAGGAAGCGGCGTCAGGGTGGTGGAGTCGCGGAAGAAACGTCGAGAAGCGCCGGAGTCCAAGGTGAAGGAAAGCGAAGCAGAGGCGGCTGGCGACGGAACGACGGCGGAAGCACCAAGACTACACAAAGCAGAGGATCCTACACCTGACGCAGCAGGGGAGGCTACGCTAGGCACATCTACACTAGGCAACAGTGAGTAATAAGCTGGAAGCACACTAGAGTCATCAGCATACATCACATGCAGGGCAGAAACAATGGCATCCATGTCCATATCAAAGATCTGAATCTGACGACTAAGCAAACTGTGCCAGTCCGGGAGGTCTGGCGACGGGCCGAAGCGCTGACGAAAGAGGTCGTCCAGGCGACGAAAACAGCGGGGAGTGGAGTGACCGATCTTACCGCAAACGAAGCCGCGGCGAGGACCGGTCTGGATCTGGTACTGACAACGCCCGCCGCCAGAGCCACCACTCGGCACACCACCACGCGCCCGGCCACCGCCAGCGCCGGGCCACCCAGGCGGGAGGACACTCGTCTGCCGTGTCTGCGACGGCTGCTGCGGCTGCTGCGAAGGCTGCGACTGCGGCGGCTGCTGCGGCTGCTGCAACTGCAGGGGCAGCGGCTCAGCTGGACTCGGCAGGGTCCCCTTGTCCGCTCCAGCACCAGACGACCCGACCCCACCACTACCCCCTCCCGCACCCCCGCCTCCGCCTCCGCCGCGCCCAACCTTGGGGCGGCGGCCCTTCCCCGAACGAAACTGCGCTGAAGCAGCAGTCTCAGCCACTGTGGCAGAGCCGTCAGAGAAGGTACACTGAGCGGGGGCACAACCCTGAAAGATAGGGACCGGCACAACACCGCTCGCCTGGGCGATGGAGCGGTGACGGGTCTCTATCACAGTCAGGGTGTCTACAAAGTCAGTGAGGGTGAGGTCTGGGGGGTGAATGCTGAGGAAGCGGTCGCGGGCGACAGCAAGGCGGTCAGGGAGGCGGGTGGCAAGCAGGTAGAGGGTAGAGGTAATGGGTGGCTGGTGGGCTCTAAGCTGTGCGTCAGTGCAGGCAGCGCGCCAGGTCTCATCTATCGAGCGCAGGTGGGCAGCGAGGTCAGAGACAGTAGGGAAAGATGCAAGGTCAGGAAAGAGCATCGGGAGGATCAGGCGACCCACCGAGGCAGCCGGAGGGGTGGAATAGCGCTGGATGACAGCATCTAAGTATGCCTGAGCAGTGGTGAGGGACCTAAAGCGAGGGCGCTCGGACGGGGGAAGGGCGTTGCTAATGGCAAGCTGGGCGACAGCATCGCGAGAAAGCCAGACAGAGCGCGCACGGGCAGTGGCAGCAGTAGACTCGCGCTCAGTGGGGGTGGAGTCAGCGGGCAAAGTAGCAGGGGGGTCTGGGCAGGGGAGCGTACCGTCAAGGTGTGCGGAAAGCGGCTCACCATCCTGCCGCTGGCCAGTGAGTTGGCGGCGGAGGTCGGCAAGCCACGCCTCGAACTCCAGAGGCTGGCCTTCAGCGTCGAAGCGAAGCTCCGCCGCCATCAGGAACAGTGCAGTGCGGTGCAGGGCAGTGCAGCAAGGTGGAGTGCAGTGCTGTGCGGTACAGTGCGGTGCAGTACGGTGCAGTGCGGTGCCAGGCAGTACAGTGTGGCGCGGGGCGGTGCAGTGCGGGGCAGCACGGTGCAGGGCAGTGCAGGGCGGGGGGGGGGGGGGGGGGGGGGGGGGGGGGGGGGGGGAACCGTACCAGTGAGGAGGACCGGGGCCGGGGCAGGGACGAGCGCAGGGGCCGGGCCGGTGCAACGGGGCCGGGCGGGTGCGACGGGGCCGGGCGGGCGCGACGGGGCCGGGCTGGTGCGACGAGGCCGGGCGGGTGCGTCGGGGCCGGGCTGGTGCGACGGGGCCGGGCGGTGCGACGGGGCCGGGCCGGTGCGACGGGGCCGGGCGAGCAGGACGGTGGCCCAGGAGGGGCGCGACGGGGCCAAGGAGGGGCGCACCGGGGCTGGGCGGGCGCGACGGGGCCGGACGGGTGCGACGGGGCCGGGCGACAGCGACGGGGCCGGGCAGGGGGCGACGGGGCCGGGCGGGTGCGACGGGGCCGGGCGGGCGCGACGGGGCCGGGCTGGTGCGACGGGGCCGGGCGGGTGCGACGGGGCCGGAAGGTGTGACGGGGCCCAGGAGGGGGCTCGACGCGGCCCAGGAGGGGCGCTACGGGGCCCAGGAGGGGCGTTACGGGGCCCAGGAGGGGCGTGACGGGGCCCAGGAGGGGGCGCTACGCGGCCCAGGAGGGGCGTTACGGGGCCCAGGAAGGGCGGTACAGGGCCCAGGAGGGGCACTACAGGGGCCAGGAGGGGCCCAGGAGGGGCGCGACGGGGCCCAGGAGGGGCATTACGGGGCCCAGGAGGGGCGCGACGGAACCCAGGAGGGGCACGACGGGGCCCAGGAGGGGCGCTACGGGTCCCAGGAGGGGCGCGACGGGGCCCAGGAGGGGCGCTACGGAGCCCAGGAGGGGCGCGACGAGGCCCAGGAGGGGCGCTACGAAGCCTAGGAGGGGCGCGACGGGGCCCAGGAGGGGCGCTACGGGGCCCAGGAGGTGCGCGACGGGGCCTAGGAGGGGCGCGACGGGGCCCAGGAGGGGCGCTACGGAGCCCAGGAGGGGCGCGACGGGGCCCAGGAGGGGCGCTACGGAGCCCAGGAGGGGCGCGACGAGGCCCAGGAGGGACGCTACGAGGCCTAGGAGGGGCGCGACGGGGCCCAGGAGGGGCGCTACGGGGCCCAGGAGGTGCGCGACGGGGCCTAGGAGGGGCGCGACGGGGCCCAGGAGGGGCGCTACGGAGCCCAGGAGGGGCGCGACGAGGCCCAGGAGGGGCGCTACGGGGCCTAGGAGGGGCGCGACGGGGCCCAGAAAGGGCGCTACGGAGCCCAGGAGGGGCGCGACGAGGCCCAGGAGGGGCGCTACGGGGCCTAGGAGGGGCGCGACGGGGCCCAGGAGGGGCGCTACGGGGCCTAGGAGGGAGCGGAAGCGGTAGGTGGGGGGGGATCCTAACCTACGCGTAATACCATATCAGAATTAGAGAAGTGAATTATGGTAGAGTGAGAGTACACACAGATATACCTGAGTGTTGTACCCTCTAAGAGGTGACCCTATACAGTCTATACAAACATGACAAATACACATGTTTGACAGTGGGTGCCCTCGGACCAGATACAGTCACCTTCGATACTTGCGAATTATTTGGACCGCAAGCACGTGGCTGATATAGATCACCTTCGCTAAGGGGGGGGTGGTGTAAGGAATTTTCCATTCCTTACCGAGCGGTACTGCTATCGCGTACGCTCGAACACACCTGAAGCCTCGGGACTGTTCCAGACCTTCTGACAGAACCGCCTCGGCTTCTCCAGACCTTTCGGTTCGACCTTCGGGAGTTCTCCAGGCCTCGCGTCGTCACTTCGAGACCCTTCGATCTCCTTCCCGAACCTTCCCATCGCATGGTTAGACTAGTTCTGGTGTTCCTATATCTTGGCTTGCCATTCCTTGTATGGTCATTCATTGAGTGAACACTTCGTTATTCATTTCCGCGCTACTCTGCTTGTTCATTCATAACACATTCCACACTAGACTCTGTACTGGTACAATAGAAACGCTTAAGACAATCTACAAACAAGACTGCTACTTTATAATCCTAAACAAATCCTGAAGCACGTCTCAATTTGATTTAGGCATTTCTACAACTAAGAGCTTGAAATCCTATCTTCCGTGCCCCTCGATCATACACAACCAACTTGTTGCGCATAGCAACATCTGCATTTGGTGTGTGCAAACAAGTTAGCAAGGGTGTCCGATATGAAAACCACATGCGTGCCAAGATGGGAACCCTTTACCTCCAATTATGGTGATAGGCTGGCCCACCACACTATTAGAGTCGTAGACACAGAAGCACACCAAATTGTCCTGCAGGCCAGGAAAACAGGTTGTCATGTCATCTCTGCCTAGAAACTGTCTTGCATACGGTAGGTATGCAAAGCATCCCTGCAAAGAAACAGCCTTGCATACGGTATGCTAGCACTCACAAACAGCCATAGATAGTTCTGTGGTGGTAAATCGAGGTTGGCACCATCCATCACGATCGCCAGTGTTGGGAATACAGACTGTAGTGTCGTAGTATCACTGGAAAAAGGCACCATGGTATGTTGCAAGCATGGCTTCAGAAAAATCAGGAGAATCACGAAGAAAAATAAGCACGTCAGAAAGCTATAGCAGTTACCTTGCAGAGACATTGTAGCACAGATTCAAAACAGATGAAACATCCCCACCAGCCAACTGATTGATTTCTTCCTGAGAAAGCCTTTGAGCTTTGCCATCAACAGATTGAATCACCTGCATGGACCGAAGTGCAATGTTATTGATGATTCATTGGCGATCAGTAGCGCCCAAACAGGGAATTTAAACAACCTACCGCCTCTCTGAGGGGAGTGTACGCTGCTTCTGGCAGCGTGAGGGCGGTGCTACCACTGTCAATAATACCTCCGGTTCCAGAAAACGTGCCAGCAGGAATACTCAAATCGACACCGTTCACCTGGATACCAAGGATTGTAGCGTTATACACCCTGCACAGTGAAGCATGTGTCAAAAGCATATGAACGAACGCAAAACCTCAGCTGGACATACATATTAAAGATACTTACGTAGTGTCATTTCCCATAGGCACAAACTGCATGCTCGAGTCAGCCATAGGAGGTGGGCCAAAGGTTATGAAACCTCCCCCCTCCTCCCCGCCCAAACAATGTGATAATATATTCCCTTGAACAATTCCTGCTCGCACTAGCTGTGAAGGGATTGAAAGAGGGCTCTGGCCAAGGCCAACCAGGCCAATCAAGGGATCTTTGAGAAGCCCCTGAGACTCATGGAAGTCACAACTGAAAGCAAGAATCGGATAGTTAGCAACTTCACACATGATACAAAATGTTTAAGCGTTTGACAAACATTACCCAAAAACAACAGGCGCTGATATCTCTGTTGGGCGGCCTGAAAGAGTTAAGACGTCTCGCATAACAACTCCACCAGTGTAGCTTCCATCACCATATATGACAGCATAATTGCAGCGACTTGCGCCATTTGGCCTGCTCAAGCACAATGTTGTGAATACATGACTATTACACCTTGATCAAGTACAAGTGAATCTAACACTTCACTTACCCGCATCCAGCAACGCAGCGACCTCGAACTCCCAACCGTGTGCAACCAATTCCACAGCCAGCCCTATACGGTCCAGCGCAAGTCGTCTCATTGATCTGTTTGCACTCTGAACAATTTACTCTCTGACGAGTTGTTGACTGTTGAGCATCGAATGAACGAGCCTGCAATGTTAAGAAACGCCGATACTCAGTCCAGGCTTCCCATGATGCACTGTCCTTCTATACCGAAATAATCCCCTTACTCTTGTATTCCGAGGGCAGTTTGCGCAGCCGGTGCACCTGACCCACAGTAGATCGCTTCCAGTGTCAATAATGGTGTTCAGTGGTTCCTTCTGTGAGCCCAATTGCAGTGTAACATAATAGGACCTGTTGAAAATCGTTGTGTTAGAATGGAGTAAGACACAATCTGGAAACAGAAAAGACAGCGGGTGACGTACCCCAGTTGTTCAACGCCTCCATTGATAGGAAGGGTTGATTCCTGACCACCTTCTTGAAGCTTTCTTGATCCAGAGGTCTTGGCTCCCTGTTACAAAAATAGGACCGGCGACATGCGATGAATCATGGAACGGGGTATCGACACGCGGTTGCCGGATGGAGCGTGTCAGGTTAGAAATGAGCACCTTTCGAATGCGCTTCAGAATAACCGCTGCTCGTGACTGAGTCTGCCTTTCCAGCCACCGCTTGTAAGACCCGAAGGTGGTAGGCCGATTATCTGGTGAAACTGCATGCTGATGACGAAGCTTGTACGTGAATACACCCCCTTCCTGCACGGAGCCATAGCTCAACGGAAACAAAGCCAGGACGCAGAGCAGCGAAAAGAGAGAGCCGCAGGCGACCATGGTGACTCGAGGATCAGTGAGGTGTGAAGGAGACAAGCTACGTGCTGCTAAAATACTACAGCAGCAACGCAGCCTTGACTGGGGACGGAATGACCTGAAACGGGTACGATCGCTGAGTACGAATGACACAATCGAGAGGAAATGCCTTCGAATCTTACATCGAACCATTACCTTTCTGGGCTCCTGGCGTCATAGAGAGGGATGCGCGCTTCGGAACCTTGGGTCGTTCCAGGCTGGACCAAAGTCACTTACATGACTGGAATTGAAGGGTTCGGGACGGGAAAAGGTGAAGACTCTAGGGCCAAATGGAAGCTTGTGAATTCAACAGCCTCGGCGAACTCAACTGAGGAGCACCATTGTTGGCGGACATGCACAGACAAACAGAAGCATGTGCAAAAGATGCGCCTGTTATACGCTACTGGCACAACTTGCTGAGAAAGGTTATCGTATGAGCATATATGTTTGACATACAATAAGAAAAGTGAAACAAATAGCAAATTGTAACCGACCACAGCTACCGGTAGTATGAGTTTGCCATAAAAAAATATTCCACAAAACATTCCATTTTTTTTAGCTTACCGTACGATTAGCGAAAATACAAAATTGTGAAGCGCATTGTTGTATACGTACGTGTACGTATACTTGTTTTCGAAAAAAATGTGTACCAACTCAACAGCATTCAATGAGTCTGTGTGACTGTCCTTGAGACATAACGCTGATATGGTGCTCATCTGCATTCAGAACTATGATTTCAGTACTATGCAGGCGCATGCATAATGAGAAGGCTTTATCCATGATGGAATCATCCACCACTTACAAAGAAGATACTAGTGAGAGATGCTAATATTAGGGATCTTATTTGTGATAGGGAAAGTCAGATGTTTCCTGAAATTCCTAGTAGGAAATCACTTCCTGAGGTGGGTTATAACCTCATTTTCAAGCCTACACAGTCACGCGGAAAGGTTGGTTTTACTCAGATCCAGAAAGAAGTCTGCTCTGCTGTGTCTTTGGAAAAGAAGGGCTTGCCGTCGCTGCTCTGCTGCAATACCGTCGTTGGGCCCACGCACCGCACCGCACCACATCTCTCGCACCCCACACGACCTTCTGGCGACATCGTTCCTGAAGATCGGAATTCGCAGCAAAAACTCTTTCTGTGCACACCAGCCAGATTCCTATATCAACTCGTAGCCTTCGTGAGTCAGAAATGAAGCGGTTGACAGCAGGTGGCAGCGCAGGTGGCAGCAGCGGCGGCGTGGGCACCAGCGGAGATCCCCGGAGACCAGACGCGGTGAAGAAGTATGTGCCGCCGGTGGTGAATGCCGAGGATCTGCCGATCGACATGGCGAGCATGATGGCCGTCTTCTTCGGGATCGCCGGCGTCATGATGCGGGTGAGAGGAGCGAAAGGAGCGGAGAGCATTGGGTTTTTGAGAAGTTAGGAACGTCTTCGCAGATCCAAGCTTTCGGAGCAGCTGATAGAGCGAAGGAGGGTGTGACATGTTCGCTGGCCTGATGCTGGATGTATGACAACACGGAGTGAGACAGAGGGGAGATTTGGAAGTAACGAGATTCTTCCTCGCTAATCAGCTACCCTTCCTCGCTTCCACATTCTTCCCTGGCTATTCTCCCTTCCTCCTCTACGCCTTTGCCCATTCGTCTTCCTTCCCAGTCTCCCACGCACATTTCTTCCTCGTTCTTCGTCTTTCGAGTTCTCACATGCCCCACACAGACCCTTTTTTTGCCGACCCCCTTCCTATCTCCTTACTCCCGTTATCCATCGAATTTTCCATCGACCCCCTTCCTATCTGTGGTTCCTTTGGTTCGGCAGCAAAAGCTTGCCTGCTGGCTGGCCCTTCTCTGTGCGGCACAAGCTCTGGCCAACATGAAGTATGTGGAGCACGACCTCAAGCAGATCATCACTGCGCTCAGGTAAGGGCCGGCAGCATTCAATACTGTATTTGACCTTTTTTCTTGTATGCATGTCCCATGATCTTGGCTCCATATCCATTCCTTGCATTCAACTCCTGTTTCCGTTTCACATTCCTTGCCACCCCACCACAACCCATCTCATGCGCTTTCTTTCACGCCCCCTGCCTCCCCGCTTCAATCTACCTCAGTTTCGCTGTAATGGGCATTGTGACGAATTATTTTGCACCTGTGCCAGTACACCCTGCTGCATCTGGGGCTGCTTCTGGCCAATAAGGTTGACTGGTGGAGATACCCTGGCATAATTTGTATCCCCTTTGTAATATATTTTGCTGAAATCCACATGCTGCTTTTGTATGATGTCCTAGTGAAACCATGTTTGTCTGTAGAGCAATATGTGTAGACAATTTTTATTGATGCGATTTTGCTTGGTAGGCTCGGCAATAGCCTTGACCAACCACCGAAGCAATCTCCGTTTTGAGGAGGAACCTCTCAGGCAGGCACACGTTTTCTCCTTGCCTGCGCCGAAGCGAACTCTTCCGAACCCGAACCTGACCTCAAACAGCCAGCCCCTCTTGTTCAGCGCTCTCTGGTCTGGTGGCAGGAGCTTGCTTGCAGTCTGCTTTCCAGGAGCTTGCTGCATTTCGGACCTTGCTTCTGGATTCTGTCTTTGCATCAGTCTTCTGGAGCTTGCTCTTGTAGCAGCGCCTTTTCCTGCGTTTCAGGAGCTTGCGTCTAGATTCTGTCTTGGAAATCGGTGCTTTCTTCGCTCTTTCGCAAGCTCAGGCTGGCAGCAGGGCAGGAAGACAGAAGTATTCCCTGCATTTCAGCCGGTATCTGCTTTCAGTTTCCCCGACGGGAGCGTCTTTGTATCTGGCAAACTGGCACCAGCAGCGTGTGATTTCGTAGGAGGGAGTAGGGTTAGGGGGGATAGGGGTAGCATTAGCGGCTACACTAAGAGGAAGAAATAAGCCTAGGATTCACCCGGAAAGACTCGGAAGGCAGCCAGGCAGAATCTGATTCTCGCAGTGGCCTTTCGCTGCTCCTATCTTCGCTGCTGAGTATCGTAACGAGAGAAAAAAATCAAGCGACGGTGGCGAGTACTGTTTTCAAGCACAATCGACAAGTTTCACGCTTCTGGCGCTGAAGACGTTTCCTGGTTGTGGATCTTCTAAATTTCGGTCAGAAATTAAGTATCTCCCCTTTCGGCGTGATGCAGCCTTCTATGATCACCCTCTCGGCTGTGGCTTCGTGGCTGTCAAGGACAGTGCAGCTGACTCTCGAACGTGATGGATCTGGTTCGGACAACCAAACAAGGCTCGGAAACAGGCTCGGGGAGCACGAGGCGAGAGCTGCGCTTGTTATCAGCGATGTTTCCGCGACGGGGGATCTACCAACCAGAGAATTGACGGAATCGGAGAGGCTGCTTGTATCGGAGACGCAGGATTTTCTGAAATATCTCTTGGACGGTTGCGATCGCTTGGACGTGGCATCTACGGCTGGGGATGCGACCAAGGCGGGCGATTCGATCAAGAGTTCAGTTCCTGAGGAAGAGAACGAAGGTGTTACGGGAGAGGAGAAAGAGGAAGTGGAGGGGACGCGAGAAGGAGGCGGTAAAGGTGATCCCGATGTCGGTACAGAGGCGATCGAATCAGGAAGGCGCGCGGAGAAGGTGGAGGAGGGTGGGAAGGAACGCGTCGGATTCGACGCTCAGGTCATTGAACTGGCTGTAACCGCGGTTGTGACAGTTCTCAAGGCGGCTGCACTGGAGGAGAAGCCGAAGGCCTCTCTGGTTCAGAGGCTGCTTGACGTGGGTGTGCGAGCAGCGCTGGAGGCAGGGGAACGAGGCACGGGTGAGACAGCACGTCGAGTGCTATTACCAGGAGTGTCAGCAGTAGGAGAAACGGCTTCTGAGCTGAGTGAAGAGCTACGTAGGGATGCAGGTGGATTGATGGAGATTGAGAAGGGGACGAGGACCCGCCTGCTGCAATCTTCTGCTGCAGCGGATGTTTCTGCAGGGAGTTCTGTAGAGATTGTTGCAGGGATTCCTGCTGGGGTTTCTGCAGGGATTCCTGCTGGGGTTTCTGCAGGGATGGTTGGGGAGCAGTTGCTGGCGCTTGTGGCTGGTGCAGTGGCGGTGTTGGATGAGATGGTTAAGAGAGAGGGGGGAGTGGATGAATTGAGTGAGGGAGAGGGTACTTTGCAAGGAAGGTTGCCAGAGAGGGATGGAAGCGAAGCTGATGCAGAAAGAGGAGGCGGAGAGGGAGAAGGAGAAGGAGAGGGAGAAGGAGAAGGAGAGGGAGAAGGGAAACGAGGAGAGGTCGAAGCTCAGTTGGGGGTTAGTGGTGAAGGTGATTGTAACGAGAAAAGAGCTGCTGCTGTGGGGGGAGTGGCTGAGGCGAGAGAGGAGGTTCTGCACGTGCTGCTGTCGTTTCTGTCCCTTGTCCTGTCCGCCTGCAGAGGTAGGGATGGACCGAGAAAAGGAGGGGGTGTTTCAGGAAGGAGTGAGAGTGGGAGAGATAGAGAGGAGGAAGTGAAGGTGGGGGATGGAAGGGGAGATGAGGAATTGGGCGAGTGGATGGGCGAGGAGATTGAAGACGAAGAGGAAACAGAGGAAGAGAACGAGAAGGAGGAGGGGAAGGGGGAGGAGGACGAGGAGGAATCTGAGGAGGACGAGAGTGAGGGGGAGGAAGAGGAGGGAGAGGATGGGGAGGCGGAGGGGGAGGAAAAGGAGGCCGACGCTGCAGATAAAGCGGAGATTGGAGAGGATGGTTGGTCTGATGGCGAACTCGAGGGTCTCTTCCTCAACACCCCTGCAGACTCCATCAGGACCTCGTGCTCGTGTGCAGCCCTCTCCCCTGCGTCTGGATTAGCACCAGCAGGAGCAGCAGGAGCAGCAGCGACAGCAGCAGCGGCAGCAGAAGGAGTGACTGCAGCAGGCGAGGCTCTAGCAGCGCCAGAGTGGTTGTCTGCGACGGATCTATCAGCGCAAGCAGCAGCGGAGGCAGAGGAGGAGAGGGCCCTAGCCTCCCGCGTGTGCTCGTTCGTGGTGAGCGGGAGCAATTTCATGGAGCAGCACTGGTACCTCTGCTACACCTGCGACCTTACTGTCTCCCGCGGCTGCTGCTCTGTCTGCGCTGCCGTCTGCCACAAGGGCCACAAGCTCGTGTACTCCCGCCTCTCCAGGTTCTTTTGTGACTGCGGCGCCACTGGTCCTGCCCCCCCGTCCGCCGCCCCTCCCTCTGCTCACATGCATGGTTCGCTGGCGGAACCTGCTAGGCGCTCTACTGCCGCTCCTGCTGGTGGTAGTGCCGCTGCCCCGGAAGGTACTGGCTTGCCGAACCAAGGCGTTTTCAACCAAGCAGCAGGATCGGCGACTGGAGCAGGTTCGGCGTCGTCCCCTGCTGCGGTCTGGGAGCGGTTCCGGCGCAGGAGGTCCGGAACAGGTTTGGCACGGCAGGGGGAGGTCTCAAGGGAGGCGGGGAGAAGGGAAGGCACTGGGGGGAGTGGGACAGGCGGGGATGTGGGCGTTTTCAAGGGCTGCTTCGCACTAAAGCCACGTCCTGTGGGGTCAGGGAAGCAAGCAGCAGCAGCAGGAGAGAAAGGGAGAGGGGAGGGCGGAGTGGCTTTGCCAGGAGGCACGTTTGGATGGCCGGGTGGATGCAGGAATGCGTGGGGGGAGAAGGAAGGGGGGGGAGGAAAGGGAGGGGGTTCTGAAGTTGAAGCGGATTGGTTGCTGGGAGTGGAGGCGTTTCTGAGCCAATCAGAGGAGCTCTGCTGGGAGGGGCTGTTGGGGAGCGAGAAACGGAATGGGGGCGAACCATCGAGGTTGCAGGAGAGCTTGTGGAGCGAGGAGGTCGTGAGGGGGCTCCAGGCGGCACTGTCAGGGAAGGCGTGGGGAAGAGGGGCCGAGGAGGAGGAAGAGATTGTGCGAGAGCAGGGTGGGACGAGGGTTGGAGAGGATGGTCGGAAGGATGGTCGGGAAGATGGTGAAGGTGAGGGTGCGAAGCAGATCCACCAGGAAGAGGGGAGGACTCTCGGAGGGGCCAGAGGTAGCGATGAGGTCGTTAACAGTGAGGAGAGCGTTGGCAGTGGCACTGCAGCAGCAGCAGCAGCAGCAGCAGCAGCAGCAGCGGCGGCGGCTCGGGCGTTGGTTCTAGGCGAGCTCACTCGGCAGCAGGTGGTGGACTCCATCTGCCAGCTGGCGCGCAGGCATTGGCTCAGGCAGAAGGCCCTGGCGCGGGAGAGGGTAGCAGGGGCGAGGAGGGGAAAGAGTGGTGTGAGTGTGATGGGAGGAGGAGGTGGGGATGCAAGTAAACGAGGCAGCAAGGCGGGTGAGATTGAGGCAGAGGCGGGGGACGAGGGAGAGGGAGCTTTGGGCGGTGAGGAGAGGGGGGAGGTGGTAGAGGTGGGGGAGTGCGAAGAGCAGGTGGGGGAGGAAGGCTCGGATGCGAAGGGTGCTGATCTGAACGCTGGAGAGGAAAACGTTGACGATTCCTGCGGGGAGGCAGTTGGTGATGAGAAGGCAGGGGCCAGTGGGACTGCTTTGGAGATCAAGAGCAGTGGGGAGGGAAGCGGGTCTAGGGGTGGGGAAGAGGCGCAGAGTGCATCAGCAGAGGCGCAGAATGCATCAGCAGAGATGCAGAGTGTACCAGCAGTGGAACAAAGTGATATTGGGACGGAGGTCAGCAGGCAGGGTGGTGAGATGGATGCGGGTACAGGCACACAGGGAAGTGAGGCCGCAGTGGTTGCTGCTGCGGCGCCAGAGGCCGACATGGGAAGTTCGTCAGTGCCTACCGCTCTCCCCTTGCCATCTGCCTTGCCATCCGCCCTGTCAGTGGAACGGGCGGATCTGGGAAGGCCTCTTCGCATGTACCCTGCTGGCTCCTTCCCTCTAACTCAATCTGCTTCTGCTCCTGTAGCAGGTGAAACAGGTGCAGCAGATGTAGCAGGAGTGGGAATAGGGGGAGCAGGAGAAGCAGCAGGTGTGGGAATGAGTGGAGCAGGGGCAGCAGCTGTGTCTCCTTCACTTCTGTCGATCAGTTTTGGGGGGAAGGTGGCAATCGGGGCAGGTTCGTCTGTGAGGCTGTGGGAGGCGGATGACATTGTGCCTCGCACTGCTGCCAGTACTGGAGCTGATCATAATGGTGATACCAATAGTGTTGCCGCTTCTGGTGCTGCTGTTGGTGGCCTAGCTGCAGTGTCGTCTGACGTGGCAACAGCAGCAGCAGTTGAGGTGGCAGCAGCGCCAACGGAGATAGGCGAGGTGGATGTGGGGTACCCGATTCACACGCTCGCCTTTCACCCCACTATTGACGCGCTGCTTGCTGTCGCGGGGGTCAACCAGGTCGAGGTAAGACTGTTACCAATCCGTGTGAACTCTTCAACTAGTTCCATTGCTGCTTTTGCTTGACTGCACTGAATATTCCACCCCAGCCACTTTCCATCTCCATTCTCTCCCCTGCCCCTTCCACTCTCCTCCCCTCCACCACCCACTTACGACGCTTCCCCCCGTTCCCCGTTGCCCCCATCAGGTCCTAGTGCTGGATGATGATTGCACGCTGGTTACCCGCTCTGCTGTCAACCTGCCTGCTGCGCTCCGCACTGCAAGCAGGCACCGCCGGCAGCACAGGCAACAGCAGGTGAAGGAGCAGGAAGAGCAACAGCAGGAGCACGAGGAGGAGGAGGAGGAAGAGGAAGAGGAGGAGAGGGGCGATGGTGAAGCAGAAGCGGAAGGGCCAGGCACAGTAGCCCCAGCAGCGGATGTGGCTATAAAGAGGATGTGCTGGTTGCCCCTGGCAGGAGGCCCGTTTCTTGAGGTGAGACTTAGAAATCTCAGCCTCCTGTCTTCATGTGATGGGGGCTTGCTTTGCACTTAAAGATTAGTTTCTCTTACGTTTGCCCTCGTCAAACATACTTTCCCCCGATCGTCCTCTCCGTCCCACCACACTGTCCCTGCAGGCGCGTCTGCTAGTAGCGACCCCCTCGGCAGTTCTCGTCTTCGCAGTGGCAGTGGGGTACGACGCTCAGCTGATCGCCACTTACCAGCTCCCATCAAACAGACATGCAGGGAGGGCTGAGCTTGGGGATTCACTGCCACGCTCACTCGAGGAGGAGGAGGAGGGGAGAGTAGGGAAGTTGGGAGGGGAGTTGAGAGGGGAGTTGGGAGGGGAGGAGATTGTGGATGTGTGTGTGGTGCAGAGAGAGGTGGAGAGCGGTGAGGGGGAAAGAGAGGGGCATGGGGATGGGCATGAGGATGGGGATGGGGATGGGGATGGGGGTGAGGGTGGCCCAAGGCTGCAGCTGACTGTTCTCACCAGCCAGGTAGGCTCATTTTCCACCGTGTTACTTTTGGCGTGCTGCGCTTCTTGTTGCTTTCTCCGCTCCATCTCTGAATCAGTATCCGCTTTTTTTTTGTCCCCCCTCCCCCCCCCCCTCTTTCCCCCCCGGGGTTGAGTTGTGTTATTTTCTGCTTCTTGCAGAAGACTGTTTTCCTCATCTCGTCGATTTGCTGGAATAGAGCTCGAGCTTTTTCTCACTTTCCTTGTCTTGTTGGCAGGCTGTACTGTACTGTGCAACTATAGACGACAACGAATCTCCTCAAGAGGAGGATGAAGAGGACGATCAAGAAGATGATGACGGTGACGATGAGTACGATGACGTGGAGAATGGATTTGATCTGTTCCTGTTCATGCCATGTCAGCACATCACGTTGCGACACCTGTCCCTTGGGCCATCAGGCTCGGCCTTTCCGTGGGCGGGCGTTCCCCCACTTGCTGCTTCTGAAGGAACCGGGAGGAGAGAATGTGGAGAAAGAGGAGGAGGAGGAGGAGAAGGAGGAGGAGGAGGAGAAGGAGGAGGAGGAGGAGGAGGAGAAGGAGGAGGAGGAGGAGGAGGAGAAGGAGGAGAAGGAGGAGGGAAAGATGTTAGTGAAGGAATGGAGGGAGGTTCGGCCGAGGACGGAGGAATCGTGGGAAGGAGGCAGGGTGGGTTTTTGTGTCCTGTGGCAACACATGAGGCGTTCCTTGTGTCTCCTGATGGCGTTCGGCTTTTCTTCGCCCGCCTCACCTTCTCTGGACAGGTGCGACATGGCGCAAAGAGTTTTGAGGTTCCCTATGATGACGGTGTTTTAGTTGCTCTGTGTCACTCAGTTTGCGCAGCAGGCAACGACCTGATGGTCCGGTGCGCTGTGACATGTCTTCTCACGATAGTGAAGGCACTAAAGGCCCGTCACACTTTCTACACTCCCTTTCCCCCCCCCCCTCTTTTTTTTCCTTTACTTTCTTCCCTCTTCTCTTCCTCCCTTTTCTGTATTCCAACCACATTCAATGCAGGCACTCTCTTTGCTGCACGAGCTCTCTGTCAACAACCCTGGACCCTATGCTTCTTTGCCTGGGGAAGCTGGGGGTGTACCGCCAGCAGCACCCGCAGCACCCGCAGCACCAGCAGCACCCGCAGCAGCTGCAGAGGCTGAAGAGCAGGATCGGGCTCGGGAGCCAGCTTCGGAAGGGTTCCGAGCCTGGGAAGCAGGCGTGATGCAATGGAGCGTTGGGGTCGCTCCTGGGGGAAGCAGGGGCAGCAGCAGAGGCAGGCACAGGGACAGGGGCATTAGCAGCTTCAGCAGCGGCAGCAGCAGTGGCAGCAGTAGCAGCAGCAGTCACTGTGGTAGCACCGTGGTGCTCAGTCAGGGAAGTAGCTGCCGGCTCTTGCAGGCGTGTGGCCCCTTGGAGCACCTCACCAGGGCCCTGAGGTTCTTTTCCCATGTTGTGGACTGTAACGCTGCTGCTGGTAACCCTATTGGTGGTTACCATTCTGGCCGTATTGTGGGAGTGGTGGCATGCCGTGCTCGTAAGGAGAGGGAGGGTAGTGAGTCCGAAGAGGAGGAGGAGGAGGATGAGTATGAGGAGGAGGAGGAAGAGGATGATGAAGAGGATATGGATGAGGGGGAGGAGGAGAGAGCTGAGGAAGAGATGCCGGGTGATAGAGAGAGTGGGAACGCCCAGGAGGTGGGTCAGGTGGGCGGGGATAATCGAGTTCTGCTGCTGCAGGAGGATGGTTCGCTACTGGTGCTCGCCACTCACCCTCCCTCCTCGTACGCCTCACCCTCGCCTTCCCTCCCTGCCTTCCCTGCCCTCCAAACCTCCTCCTCCCAGGCAGCCCAATCTGCTTCCGCCCATCCCTCTGTCCCTCACCATGCCCCTGCAACTGCAGCAGTAGCAGCAGCAGCAGCAGCAGCCGTTTCTGCATCTGCACTGAGTCCATTGGTGCCTGGCACTGGCCCTACTTCTGGCTCTGACGCTCCCGCTAGTGCCTCTGGCAGCAGCTCTAGTTCTGGGCTTTGCACAGTTTCGAGCGCTGCTACAGCTGCACAAGCAGCAGCGGGTGCTGCACTCACGTCTACTGCTACAGGCGCATCAACCGCCGCTGCTGCTACAGCCGCCCCCACCAGTGCTGCCCCGACCCGCCGCCCTCCCCTCCCCCCACCTCTCCCCACAACCCTGCCTGTCCGCAAGCCTCTCTCCCCTGGGGAGGAACTGCGTGCCGCTGTTGACACTTTGCTAAGCGTCGTGGATGGGGGAGGGATTGGGACCGAGGCTCCAGGTGCAGGAGGAGCTTTAGGAACAGGCGCACCTGGTACAGGCATATCTGGGGCAGGTTTATCTGCTGGGCGGCAGCTTCCCAAGCCGTTTCCACCTGTGCCCTTGGACCTGATTGGCCGCCGCAAACCTCCCAGCTGGGCTCCTGTTTTCCCTCACGATTTCTTTGAGCACACTGTGTGTGTTACCCCAGAGGTCCGCTTCTCAGTGCACGGCGTGAGGGGCAGCAGGAATGGAGGAGGCGGCGGTGGCACCAGTGGTGGTGGTGGCAGTGGCAGCAGGAGTGCAGGAGGTGTGGGAAGTGGTAGTGGCAGTGGCAGTGGTGCTGGTGGGCGGAGTGCGGTGTCTTCTTCCTCGTCCTCGTCGTCTTCTGCGGCCGCTGCTGCGTCGGGGTCTGCTGCTGACGTGGCGGGGACGAGCGACATGGACAGTGAGAGCGTGCTGCATAATCTCATGGCGGAGGATGGCTACCTGGAAGCTTCCTCCTCGAGAGGCTTCAAGGTGCGTTGATTTCCCAGGTCTTCTCCTCACCTCCTCTTCTCCTCACCTCCTCTTCTCCTCACCTCCTCTTCTCCTCACCTCCTCTTCTCCTCACCTCCTCTTCTCCTCACCTCCTCTTCTCCTCACCTCCTCTTCTCCTCACCTCCTCTTCTCCTCACCTCCTCTTCTCCTCACCTCCTCTTCTCCTCACCTCCTCGTCTTCTCCTCACCTCCTCTTCTCCTCACCTCCCCTTTTCTGTTGACACATCTCTATCCCGTCGTCCTGCACACCCCCCTCCCCACGTACTCCCTGCTTCTCTCCCTCGCCCCCCAGATCACCATGACCAGCTGGTGTCCAAGTCGATTCAAGTCGAAACAATTTCACCCCCCCACCCCCGCCGTTCAGATCACCATAGCCAACAGAAATTAATACCAACTTGTTGTTGCCATCCTCCCCCCCCCCTCTCCTCTTTTTCCTCTCCAGATCACCATAGCCAACAGCAACTCCAGCCTTCTCTTTGTGGGAATCCGCATCCTCGTAGGGATCTCCTCCTCCTCCCACATCCCCTCCTCTCTCTCCCTCTTCCACCGCTTGCTCTTCTTTCACCCGATGACTGTAATCAATACCAACTCGTGTTGCCTTTCCTCCCATCCCCCCCTCCCCTCCCCCTCCCCCTCCTCTCTCCTCCATTGTTTCCCCCCCCGCCCTTCAGATCACCGTAGCCAACAGCAACTCCAGCCTTCTCTTTGTGGGAATCCGCATCCTCGTGGGGATCTCCTCTTCCTCCCACATCCCCTCCTCCCTCTCCCTCTTCCACCGCTCGCTCCCCCTCGACCGCTCCTCCCGCCGCTGGTACGACCTCCCCTTCACTGGTGACCAACTGGCATCCAAGTCGACTCAAACGATCTCTCCTTTCTCCCTTCCCCCCCTCCCCTTCCTCTCCCCCCTTCCCCCCCGCCCTTCAGATCACCATAGCCAACAGCAAAAACAGCCTTCTCTTTGTGGGAGTCCGCATCCTCGTGGGGATCTCCTCTTCCTCCCACATCCCCTCCTCCCTCTCCCTCTTCCACCGCTCGCTCCCCCCCGACCGCTCCTCCACTGGTACGACCTCCCCTTCACTGGTGACCAACTGGCATCCAAGTCGACTCAAACGATCTCTCCTTCCTCCCTTCCCCCCCTCCCCTTCCTCTCCCCCCTTCCCCCCTGCCCTTCAGATCACCATAGCCAACAGCAACTCCAGCCTTCTCTTTGTGGGAGTCCGCATCCTCGTGGGGATCTCCTCCTCCTCCCACATCCCCTCCTCCCTCTCCCTCTTCCACCGCTCACTCCCCCTTGACCACTCCTCCCGACGCTGGTACGACCTCCCCTTCACGCCCGCCGAATCCCTGCTGGCAGACCGCCACGTCAGCATCCACGTGGGCCCCGCTTTCGGCGGGAATGTGCGGGCGAGGGTGGATGGGTTGGAGGTGTATGGGAGGAGGAAGGAGGAGTTTGGGCGGGGGAGGGTGAAGGGGGGTGTGCTGGGATGGTGGCGGGAGTGGAAGAGGGTTGTTGAGGAGGAGGAGAGGAGGAGGGAGAGGGAGGTGGAGGAGGGGCGGGAGAGTGAGAGAAAGGAGGGCGCGAGGAAGGAGGGGGAGAGGAGGGATGGGGAGGGAGGGGAGAGGGGGAGGGAGAGGGAAGACGGTGGAGGAGAGGGGAGCGTGGAGGAGGGGAGAGAGGAGCGAGTGGTGGCTGATGCCTTGGATGTGCTAACAGGGCTGGTGCGTGTGGTTGGTGAGGGTGGGAAGGAGGCAGAGGGTGAATCTGAGGCGTTTCAAGGGGCCACAGAGGGTAGGAGGGTGGAGGGAGAGGGTGAAGGAGAGGGTGAGGGAGTGAAAGAGTCAGAGGAGGAGGAGCAGGTTGAGGGACAGGAAGGGCAGGTGGCCGCAGGCCAGAATGTGGGGGATCTGGGGAAGGTGGATCTGGGGAAGGTGCAGCTGTTGGGAGAGGGTTTGCTGAGGGATCTTCTCCAGGAGGTGCTGAGAGGGAGCCCGGAGGAAGAGGAATTGGGCGGACTTGTGGGAGGTGGTGCGGGCAAAGGGGGTGTGAAACAGTTGCTGCTGGGCTTGTGCGCATCAGTGCATCCATCGCGGACAGAGCTCGTCCAGGTATGTAGGTGGCTTTTGTCTGGCTTTTGTCTGGCTTTTGTCTGGGCCCAAAGGTCGCTGCATAGATCTAGGCTGCTCTCGCCGTGGCCAAAGAATCTTTCTCCAAGAGTCGGCTCTTGCTTTGACCTGTCCGCAGATGCACACGCGCACACAAACTTTCTTCCCAAACCCCCAACTCCTCTCCCCCCCACCCCCACTCCCTCTTCTTCAGGGGTGTGACTCAACCGAGCTATCCCTTGCAACTCAACGCACAACATCATCATGATCACCATCACCATCACCATCACCATCACCAGCGTGTGTGCGCTCTCCAGAGGCGCGTGGAGCCATGGCCCACATTGCTGTGCTGCGTTCACCCAGCATGCCCCATTCCCCCTCCCCCTCCCCCTCCCCCTCCCCCTCCCCCTCCCCCTCCCCCTCCCCCTCCCCCTCCCCCTCCCCTCCCCCTCCCCCTCCCCCTCCCCTCCCCCTCCCCCTCCCCTCCCCCTCCCCCCCCCCCACCCCCACCCCCTCCTCTCCTGTGTTTCAGGCGTGTGACTCTGCAGAGCTGTCTCCCGCCTCCGAAGCACAGCATCACCCGCAAAACCATCGGACTCTCCAGAGCCGCGTGGACGCCATAGCCCACATTGCTCTGCTGCGCCCATCCAGCATGTGCTACCCCCCCCCCCCTCCCCACCCCCTCCTCTCCTGTGTTTCAGGCGTGTGACTCTACAGAGCTGTCCATTGCTGCCGGAGAACAACTTCACCCGCAAGACCATCGGACTCTCCAGAGGCGCGTGGACGCCATGGCCCACATTGCTCTGCTGCGCCCATCCAGCATGCGCCAGCTCCTCTCCACCACTGGCATCCCCCCCCTAGAAGCCCTCCACAGCCGCCTGCTCTCACTGCTGCAGACTCCAGATGAAAATGCCCCAGAAGCTTCTCGGGAATCCACAGGAGAAGGAGAGCGGAGCGAGGGGGGTGCCGCAAGTGACAATACAGGGGGGAGGGATGCAGATGGTGGGGCTACAGATGCGACAGAAACAGAAGACAGGGGTGCAGATGGCAAGGGGATGGGTGGAGAGGTTGCAGATGGCAAGGGCGTGGCTGGAGAGGGTTCTGCTGCTGTGAATGTGAAGCAAGCGCTGGTGGCTTCGTCTGTTCGACTGCTGGTTGGCGTAGCAGGCTGTCTCCTAGCTCCAGCCAAAAATGTTGCTGCTCCTCCTGCTGCTGCTCCTCTCACTGGTGCTTCTCCCACTTCTGCTTCCCTCACTGCTTCTATGCCAGCTGCTGAATTTAGGGGGGTGACAATGGAGTGGGTGGTTACCAGGTTACGAGATCTTCTGCTGTCGTCTGATGCTGCTGTTGCAGAGGCATGCTGGTACGTGCCACAAACCCCTTGTCATCATTATGCACGCTCTTGCCAGTCCCTTGTTGGCTTCCATTCTCTGCATCATCATTATGCAGGCTCTTGCCTTGTTGGCTTCCATTCGGTACTTGCTTGCTATATGCATTTGAGGAGCCTGAAAAAAGCTTGGCTTCCAATTCACTGCTTGCGAAATTCATTCTGTCCGACATTGCATGCTTGGCCCTTCGGTCACCAACATTGCACCATCAGTCAGCACCCTCTCCGTGCTAAATAGTTCATTTTCGAAACGTCTCAAAACTTCATTGCTCGCTACATGCGTTCTGTCCGTGTGCCCCCTGTCTCCGACATTACACCATCTCTGGTCCGCTTATGCATCTGTTTTCCCCTTCTGTCAAAATCTCTGTGTTGCGCACACCTTTTGAGGCGCCTCAACACCCTGTATGCCTTAGCACCAAACGTCTCACTCTCACTGTTGTGCGCTCTGGTTTCTCTACTCCCACAGGATGGCTCTCTGTGCTCTCTTCCTGCCGCCGCCCCCTCTCCCATCGCCGCCACCATTGGCGTCGTCCCTGGCTTCTGGACAGCGTGCAACAGCCAATGCAACTGACTCAAGCAATGCAACTGACTCAAGCAGCAAGGACAGCAGGCATGCAGCGGCAGCCGCAGCAGCAGCAGCAGCAGCAGCAGCAGGGGAGCCAGAGCACTCAACAGGAGCAGAGGGTGCTGTCCCTCAAGCCTTTGATGCATCCGCCTTCAATATAGCCACCCTCTGGGGCGCAGGGCAGGGTGCAGCAGCTGGTGCTGATGCTGCCTTCGGCGCAGGTGCTGCTCTTGGTGCCACCGGTGGTGCTGGTTTCGGGTCCTATGTGGAGAGTGGGGTAGTGGAGGGGGAGGGCGCGGATGACATGGACATTGATGAAGGCATGCATCAAGGCATAGGTCAGCACATAGACCAGGACATAGACCCGCACCTGTCGGTGGTGCAGTACTGCTGCGACTCGTGCGGGGTGTGCCCCATACAGCACGTGCGCTGGCACTGCCTCGTGTGCGACGACTTCGACCTCTGCAACCACTGCCACCAGGCCGTCACCGCTGGTTCTGCTGGTTCTTCTGGTAATGCAGCTGCAGCCGCTGCAGCCTCTGCTGCCGCTGGTGATGCTGATGCTGGTTCTGCTGGTGGTGCTGCTGCTGCTTTGTTCCCCTTCAGCTCGCACAGCCTATCGCACCCCATGGTTGCCATCCCCGTAGATCCTGCAGCAGATGGGATGGCGGAGGAAGGAGGCACAGAGGGAAGGGCGTTGGACACAGGGCACGGGATGATGGGGGAAGGAGGAGCGGAGGGGCTTATGGGTGGATTTGAGGAGAGTTTTCTCAGGGTGTTAGGTGGAGATGCTTATAGCGAGTATGGAACAGGGTCGGGCTTTGCTGGCTCTACTGTTGCAGGTTCTGTTGGTGGTGCTGCTGCTGGTGCAGCTGCTGCTGGTACTAGTGATGAAAACCGTGCTGCCGCTAGTGGTGCAGCGGGGTTGGGTGGGGCAGGAAGGAGTGTGGTTGGTGGGAGTGGTGTGGCTGGCCAGGGGGAGATAACAGGAGAGACACGGAAGGACGGAGAGGAGAGGGAGAGGTGGGAGAAGGGGAGGTGGGAGGGGATAAGGGTGCATGTGGAGCAGGTGGGACGGGAGGTGCTGCAACAGCTGCTCTCCTCCTTACCCCCTGGCTGGTCCCTTGGGCCTCAACCCACCCCTTCCTCCTCTGCCTCCTCCTCCTCCTCTTCTCGCCCCCCCTCTCGCTCCCCTCCCATGCCGCTGCTGCAGCTGCTCCTGCGAGTGTTTGCAGCAGGGGCAGTAGGCGGGGGGCCCATGGCTATTGCTGCGCCAACTGTGGGCTCGATGTCAGAGAAGGCTCTATTGCCTAATAAGCGCCGTAAGTCGGTGGCGAGAAAGTTGGCAGCAGCAGCTGCTGGTGCTGCTGGTAGTCTGAGGAAACTAGCTGCCTTGGACTCGCCTGGATGCCGGCTGATGACGTGGACGCTGACGTGGCTGGTTGATGAGCTGGAGCACAGCTGGCGCCAGATCTCCGGAGAGAAAGAGGGGCGTCTGGATGATGGAGGCACTAGTGCTGGTGGCGTGGCTGCTTTGACCTGCTTCCTGGAATTCCTAGTGCTGCTCTTCCGTAGCTTGCAGTATCACCTACAGCAGCCGAATCATCATCAGCAGCAGAATCAGCAGCAGCAGCAGCAGCAGCAGCAGCCTGGGTCAGGTTTCGTGTTATCCCTCCTCGTTCTCCAGCCCTCTGCATGCTCTGCTGCAAGCAGGCTCCTCGCTCTCCTCCACTCCATCTTCTCCTCCTGCCAGCCGCACCCCCCGCTCACAGGCACCCTCAGCTTGACAGAAGCTGACATCTCTGGGACTAAGGTCTTGGGGAGAGAGTCCGGGAAGGGCGGATATGGAGTGGAAGGGAACGGCAGGGATAGGTTGCTGCTGTGGGCGCTGTGCCTTGCTGCTGAGGTGGCGTCGATATGCCCGACACAGAAGGGAGGGGCGCCGGCGGAAGCCTCTGCTACATCTGTACTGCTGCTGGAGTCGACTTGGCAGCCTCTGCTGTGTGCGTACCTGCAGCGAGCAGCTCTAGAGCGAGTGTTGGCCCAGCCCAGGGAGCAGCAGCGGACGAAGGAAGGGACAGTTATAGCCCAGGTGGACAGTGGAGGGGCAGGGGCAAGTGACAGTGGGGCAGAGAAGGGAGGAGAGGACGGAGGGTTGGTGGGGACGAGAGAGAGGGAGGGGAAGTATGTACGGCAGCTGTTGCTGCTGACTTGTGGGGGGAAGGAAAGAGAGTGTGCAAGGGTCCAGCGAGCGTGTAAGCTATCTGCGTACATGTCTGACCTTCGCTCCGCACTCCATCCCCTCCTCCCTGTTCCTTCCCCCTCCATCCACCTCCTTTCCCCCTCCTCTCCTCTCCCCCCATCCCCCTCCTCTCCCCACCTCCCATCCCCCATCCCTCCCCCTCTCCCCTACGCCGTCAAGATCCAAGCCCTCCATCTCCTCACTGCCGCCCTCCATGTGGCGCAATCTCAGCCGTCCACGTGGCGGAGGTACTGCGCAGTCGAGGACACGTCAGCGCTGCGGCTGCTGGCGGCTGTAGCGGCTGCTACATCCTCCCCGCGTTGGGCTGCCGAGGACGAGCCCCTTGCCCTGTGCGCGCTACAGCTGCTGGCTTTGGCGTTTGACCCCCAAAGCAGTGGTAAACGCAGTAGCAGCAGGAGCAGTGGTGGCGGTGGCAGTGGCCGTAGCAGTAGGAGGGCGAAGAGGAAGGTAGAGGGGTTTGGAGCGGTTGATATGGGTACACAGGCGGCTGCTCTGTTTGGGCTCTCTTCGCAGTCACAACAGCAGGCAGAGGGGCAGAAGGGAGGCGTGGAAGCAAGCAGCATTGGTGGCGTGGGCAGTGGCGTGGTGCCTAGTGGTGTTTCTCAGTTCATTGCATCGTTCGTGCTCTCTGCTGCGTCTGCCCGGCTGCGATCTCAGGCCTGCATGGTCATGCAGGTATGCTACTGTTCATGCTGTGTGTACCACTGTTCATGGGGTATGTACTGTTCATGTGTCATGCCACTGTTCCTGGGGTGTGACATAGGCTGTGTTTCTGTTATGGGCGTCAACTGGTCATGGGGTTCATGCCCAGCTCTTGTGCCCCACCTCTAGTGCCCACCTCTAGTGCCCACCTCTAGTGCCCACCTCTAGTGCACACATCTAGTGCCCACCTCTAGTGCCCACCTCTAGTGCCCACCTCTAGTGCCCACCTCGAGTGCCCCACCTCTAGTGCCCCACCTCTAGTGCCCACCTCTAGTGCCCACCTCTAGTGCTAGGTTGACAAAAACGCATTTGCAAGTTTGCGTTTTGAGTTTAAACGCAAACGTTTTAACGCAATACTAAAAAACGCATCAAAACGCTCGAACGCACCGCGGAATTTTACCGGGCTGACCGAATCGAAAAACGCACAAAAAAAACGCGCGATATCAGAAATCGAAATTGCATTTCGCCGCGCGTCGCGAATCGACAGCACATTTCGTGCGTTGCACATTCGTGAAAATTTTCACAGCGACACATAAACTTGTCAGTCTCTCCCTCCCTTTTCCCAACGTGTTTGAATTCCCAACCCATTCCCCCTTACTAGATCCAGATCTATATGTAGAGGAGAACTTGGCTCACCTTCCATGCACAGCCACGATCTACTCCTACCCTTACGTTTTAACTTCCAGCAGCTAACCTATCCGATTTCCAGCCTCTAGCATGGCGTCCTCCTCGTCGCCAGTACATGCTCCTCAATCGGATGAGGGCGAGGGTTCCACCGGTGTCACCACGTTCGTCGAACAGCCCGACCATGCGATATTCAAGCACTTTAGGACGGGTGTGGCAGTGGACGGTAAGCTGACAGAGTCGCGAAAGTGTCACTACTGTCCCGCGACATTCGTTGGTGGCACGACGCGCGCCGCACAGCATTTGACGGAGTGGAACGGGATGAAGCGTCGTGGCGTCCACCTCTGCCCCGCCGTTCCCAAGAAAGCTCGTGACGAGGTCAAGGCGCATCAGGAGCGAAACAATGAGTCGAGGGACTGCAGGCGTCATGCAGAGTCCTTGGCGCTGCAAGCTGTCGGCGGCAACGGGATGAGAGGCCGCATGACCGATTTTTTCGGTGATGAGCCCACGTGCAATCGGAAAGCTGCGGATGAGGCGATATGCCTCATGTTCGCGGCTCTTCGTCTGCCAGAGCACATCGCGGACAACCCCATCTTCACCAACGCCATCTCCTGCATTGGTCGTGCAGGCGCTTCCTATGTTGCCCCCAAGCGGCGGTACATAGGAGGTGCGGGGCTGCAGACGTGCCGCACGCGTGTGGAGGCAGCGCTTGGCCCCATCGCCGCCAGCTGGGAGAGGGATGGCGTAACCCTAGCCAGCGACATGATGACTGATGTGAACGGGAGGCCGCAGGCAAACATACTTCTCATCAACGACAGTTGGGCGGTGTTTGTGGAGTCGATCAATACGAACATGGAGTTCAAAACGGGCGGGTACATCGCAAGCATCCTCCGCCCGATCGTGCAACGCGTGGGCCCGGAAAACATCGTTGCGTTCTGCACCGACGGCGGCAGCAATTACGGCGCGGCGTGCAGGGAGTTGATGGCAGAATTTCCCCACATTGAGAAGGTCCCGTGCGCCACGCATGTTTTGGACCTCCTCATGGAGGACATTGGGAAGATGGCGTGGGCGCGGGCAGTGGTGGAGAAGGCGGATTACATCATCGCCTTCGTCCGCAAGCATCAGTTCACGCGGAACTTCATGCGCAACTGCAAGGTGGATGGGGGAAAGACGAAACAAGTTTTGCGGCCGGCCGGTACTCGCTTCGGGACCACCTACATAGCGGTGGGGCGCTTGAGTGAGGTGCGGCGGGCCTTGACGCAACTCGTCCTGAGCAACGAGTGGAAGGATTTTGCCGCTGCAGGGGCGAGGAGGGCAGCGGCAGAGGTGTTTAGCACGGCGGTCATGGATGGTGAGTGGTGGAATGTGGCTGAAGCTTTCACCCACCTCATGCAGCTGCCATTTATGGTGATGCGGGCCACGGATTCGTCGGCGAAGGGAATGATGGGTAAGATTTACGACCTCATGTTGCAACTTACCGTGGACATGGATGACATGCTCGACAAGCGTGGGGAGGAGTTCCTGAACGAGGACGAGGCGGAAGAGATCCGGGGGTTGGTGAAGAAGAGGTGGGATCAAGACTTGGCTTGCCCCTTGCACGTGGTTGGCCGGATGCTCAATCCGGCCAACCAAACAGAGGGAATCTTCCGCAAGGATAAGGAGTGCACCACTGTTTTGAAAAAGTTCCTCTCCACCCACTTCGACCGGCGCATGGTCACCCTCCCGAATGGGAGGACGGTGAAGGAATCAGTGGTGCTTCAGGACGGCCTCACCGACTTCTTCACCATGCGCGGCAGCTTTGGCCTTGCCGAGGCAATCGCTGACCGTGAGTTGGTGAAGGCGGGAGAGATGGACATGGTGCGGTGGTGGACTTGGCATGGCACCGACCATCCCGCCCTCACCGCCCTCGCTTGCCGTGTCCTCACACAGGCCGTCTCTGTAGCCGCATGCGAGCGCAATTGGGCGGTGTGGGACTCAGTCCACACCGCCAAGCGCAACCGCTTGGGGTCGGAGAAGTGCCGGGATTTGGTGTACGTGGCCCACAACTGGCATGTGGTCCACAACTGGTACAAGAAGGAGGAGGGGCTTGGGGTTGTTGCTGGGAACATCCCCGAGCCCCCCATGGCGGAAGGATACAATGTGCTCGAGGAGGAGGCGGAGGAGGGGGAAGATGATGTGCTTGAGGATGAGTATGAGTAGGATAGATGTACAAGGTCGGATGGAGGAGGCATAGATGATGGAGAGAAGATAGGTAGTCAGGAGATGTGGCGGCGGAGGAGGGGGAAGATAATGTGATGGAGGATGAGAATGAGTAGGGGAGATGTAGAAGGTCGGATGGAAGAGGCATAGATGATGGAGAGGAGATAGGTAGTCGAGAGATGTGGCTGTGGATGTGTGTCCTTAGCGTGATGTTAATGTGAAAAGAAAATTTCTGCTGTCCCCTCCTCACCCCTCTCCTCCCCCTCCCCCCCACCCCCCCTATATCCCCTGCCCGGGCAAAAATTTCCGCCTGCCCGGGCAGGCGTTTTCCAAGCGTATTTGAAGCCTGAAATCCTACGTTTTGCGTCCTGAACGCAAGCGTTCCAAACGAAACGCAAAAACGCGGAAACGCGTTTATGCCAACATAGCTCTAGTGCCCACCTCTAGTGCTCTGCCTTCCTTTCCAACTGCAGGGAGTTTGGCACCACGTCTTCCCCTATTCTTTTTTAAGCCCCTCAAAAATCAACTCATCCCCCCACCCCACCTATCCCCTCCCCTTCTCTCTCCCTCCCCCCTCCCCCCCACACCCCCCTGCCACCTTCCCTTGAAACTGCAGGGAGTGTGGCACCACGCCTCCCCCTCTCTCCGCCACTCCATCCTCTCCTCCCTCCTCTCCATCCTCCCCCACACGCCGTCCCTCGGCTCTCGGGCCCTCAGCTTCTCCCAACTCCTCCTCTCTCTCCTTGCTGACCTGGCGTCCAGTCAGCAACCAGCTGGCACTGCTGAGCTGGTGTCGCAAGCCGCTACCACGCTACTGGTGCAGCTGTCGCAGCAGAGTCGTGCAGTGGCCAACCACCCCAGTGCCTCTCTCAACTCCGCGTTGCATAAGTTGCTGGGTGCAGAAGAGGATGGGACTGGTGCTGCCGGTGCTTCTGCTGCTGTGGCGGCGGCTGCTGGTGCCGGTGGTGGTGGTGGTGGTGCTGCTGGTGCTGGCAGTGGTGGGAAGAAGGTAGTGGGGGCGTCAGTGTGGGGGTTGGCGGATGGGGAGCCGTGCGCAGTGTGTGCGTACCCCGAGGCAGTGTGTGGGAGTGTGAGGATGGAGAGTGTGCGGCAGGAGGTGCGCTTCTCAGACTGCCGCATCTTCGTTCGCCTGTCGGAGCCACACCTCATCAAGGTGAGAGAGGCACCTCACAGAGCCACAAATTTTCAACGCGAGCAGTAGTCAAGCGAAGGCCGGGTCACTTCGCCTGCTGGGGAGCAATCCTCAACTTTAACCGGCTTTTAATCACACACCCACCCACCCACACACCCACACACCCACCCACCCTCCCACCCACCCACACACCCACCCACCCACCCACCCACCCACCCCTTATACGTCAGGGTTTCACCATGGCGGTGCACGACTCAAGGAGGGGCCGCTCTGTCAAGGACCTTCGCCTGCTGGGGAGCAACAGTGCCGCCTGCGACCTGCAGCAGATCAAGACCGCTACAGACGAGCTCTGCCGCCCGATCGCTCGCTGCCAGCTGGCGGCCGACCAGCCCGAGATCCGAGTGGAGCTGCCCCTCCCTGTTGCGCTGCGCTTCATTGTGGTGGAGTTTGCGTCATTCCATGAGGTAAGAACTGGGTATTTCGCTCTCCTTTCTCTTGCCTACAACCTGCCCAGTGCCTCTCCCTATTTCTCTGCGCTTTTTGTTGTGATGTTGGGGCAATTTACGCCCTCCTTTCCTCTTCGTCCCTTGAGAGCACCCTCCTTTTCTCCACTGTTTGCTAAACCCCCACTTCCCCCCTCCCCCTCCTCCCCCCCATTCGCCCTCTCTTGGCCTTTTCTCCCCATCAGAACCATTCCACGTCGTCGTCATCATCTCGAGAGTCGCTGCAGTGTCCACGGTGTAACCGTGTGGTAACCAGCCGGCACGGCATGTGTGTGGTGTGCCATGAGAACGCCTTCCAGTGCCGCCAGTGCCGCGCCATCAACTACGACAACCTCGGCGCCTTCCTCTGCGCGCAGTGCGGCCACTGCAGGTGAGAGAAGCGCACACGCACGCGCGTGTGTGTAACCGTGTGGTGGTAACCAGTTGCCCTCGCATGAATACCTTGTGAAGCCGCCACCGTTTCCCATATGTGGCGTAAGGCATAGAACCAAAAACCTTAACCCCCATCCTGCCTCACCAGGAACGTTCTGCTTCACTGCCAACCCCGACCCCATGTAAGGCACCTCGAATTCCCCTTCTCCCGCTGCCAACCCCTACCCGAATTCCCCCTCCACCAGGTACGGCCGTTTCGAGTTCACTCTGCAGGCACACCGACTGCCCCAGTTGCACATGCCACACACCCACCCACCGCCCCGCCTTCCCCCCCTTCCCCTCCCCACCCCCCCATTCTCCCATTCCCCCCCGCACCCGCTTCCCCCATTCTCCCATCCCCGCACCCGCTTCTCCCATTCCCCCCCTCTCTAGGTATGGCCGTTTCGAGTTCACTCTGCAGGCGCACCCTTGCCCCTCCTCCATCGACCAGATCCTCTCTGACGAAGCTTCCAGGAAGGTCGCTGCAGCGCTGGAGGCCGAGGCTGAGTCAGCCACCCGGCTCCGTCAGCAGCTGCAGGCGCTGCGCCGGCCAATCGCACGCCTGGTTTCGTCCATCCTGGATGATGACTCAGCTGCTGACGTGGCTGCAGCTAACTGGCTGGATCATGACCCGGCTCCAGCAGCAACAGCAGCAGGGTCAAGAGGGGGAGGAGCAGGCGGAGGGGCCAGGGGAGGAGCAGGAGGACTTAATAGTATACAAGGCAGAGAACGGGCAGTAGGGGGTCGATCAGGGCTGGACGGCGGGGGTGGTCTGAGTTCCCTTCTGCAGCTGGCAGCAGCAGCAGGAGGGGGGGGGGGAGTGGTGGGGGAGGGGGAGGGGGAGGGGGAGGAGGGAGAGGGGGCGCGGGTCTGGGGTCTGCATCGTCCCTACTGTCAGCCCTGCTGGGAGGTAGGCTTGGGGGGGGACGAGGAGCAAGAGGGGGGCCTGCAGGGGTGGGAGGAGGAGCAGGAGGCGGAGGAGGTGGGCTTCTGGATTTCGACCTGTTTGAGGATATGCTTGCTGCGACTGCTGGCTCTGGTGCTGATTCCGGTGCTGGTCTGTTCAGTTCGAGTCTAGCCAGTGCAGGGTTGGGGGCATCAGGCGTACCAGCAGCGTCATCAGGGACAGGGAGAGCAGCAGGAGGAACAGCAGCAGCATCAGCAGCAGCAGCAGCATCAGCCGCAGCGGCAGCAGCAGCAAGCGAGGAGATTCTGCAGCAGCTGCTGGAAGCCTTCCCGCCCCTCTCTGCTGCTGGTTTGGGTAACTCTATTGGTACCACAGGTGCTGCTCTTGGTGGTACTGGCAGTGCTGGTACTCCTGGTGGTGTGGGTGCAAGTGGTGCTGCTGGTGATGCGACAGGTGGCCTTTCTCTCTCCTCTGCCTCTGTCGCAGCAGCAACAGCAGCAGCCGCTCAGGCGCACGTGAGCCGTCGGATCGCGATCTTGGGCGCGCTGTATGCTGACAAGTGTCGCGCTGTGCACCGCAAGCTTGCCAGGTCAGCAGAGAGGATGGGAGCGCTACAGATGGCCCTGGCTGAATACCACCTGCTGGTTGGGTATCAGAGGAGAAACCGCCGCCGGCAGCAGCAGCTACAGCTGCAGCCGCAGCAGCAGCAGCAGCAGCAGCAGCAGGGGCGGCGGCGGCAGGGCTTGGGTTATGAGCAGGAGAGCTTGGAACACAGCAGCAGCAGCAGCAGCAGTGGCGGCAGCAGCAGTGGCGGCAGCAATGGCAGTGGTGCAGGGGTGTGTTTAGACTGTAGCAGCACTTTCGTGGGACTCTGCCTGCAGTGGCTTGAGGTGAGGCCTCATGGTTTGAAGTGAGCCTGAGAAAGTCAGGCATCGATTTATGTAGTTGCAGTGTTGCAAGTTCCAGATTTCTTTTACTCTTAAGAGGCTTCTGGTAAGGAGTTAGTAGTTACACGCGGTGAATGAGAGTGAGTTACACAGCCGCGTGATTCAGTTGCAGATAACCTGATCCGTTCTTAAATGCTCCTTTTTCTCATCTGCTTCTTCCTCCCCCCTACCTTCCTCCCCCCCTGCAGGCACTCCTCCCCATCCCAGCTGCCCCCTCCGCCCTCCTCTCTCTCTCTGCTATCCCCACCCTCTTCTCCTCCTCCCTCCTCTCTGGACCCCCCTCCTCCCGCTCCCGCACCCGCCACCTCCTCTCCCGCCTCGCACTCACCTCCCCAGACGCCCTACACCACCTGCTGGAGCTGATAGAATCCAAGGTCTCCGCTGCTGTGGCCGGCTATCTGCTTGCTGACGTGGCGCCAGCTGTAAAGGACCCGCTGCTGCTCCTTGCTGACCTGTCTTTCTCATCCTCTGAGTCGACTCAATCCACGTCCGCATCTGGCGTGTCGTCTCCTTCGGGGAAGCTTCTCTGTCTGCAGCTGGCCACTCGCCTCTTCTTCCTTGCTCTCACCACCACCCATGTGCACCCCTCTGTATCGGACCATGTGCTGCTGCCCACCCTCCGAATAGTCACCTCCTCCTGCAAGCACGCTACTCTGGAGGCACCAAAGAGACAGGCTGGGGAGACTTCAGGGGCAGCTGTGGGGGAAGCCCAAGGGCGTGATGGGATATCAGGGAATGCAGTGATGTTAGGAAACGCAAGTACCAGCATCCCAGGAGATGGGGCTTTGCCACCCACAGTTCGCAAGTTTGCCGTCCGCTGGCGCGATCGCACGCGCGAGCGGAGCGCGGTGGACAGCAGGATTCAGCTGCTAGTGCGATCGTTTGGCAGCTGGTGTTTTGGCCGGACTCAAGCGCACGCCTCCTCTGCTCAGGCAGACGATCGAATCTCTCTCAGTGCAGATCTCATCGCCAGCTGTCGCTCGCCGCCCGCCCTCCGATCCGAGATATGCCTTCTGCTGGAGTTGCTGGCAGGGGTGGCCCCTCGATACAAGCACGCTGTGCTGGAGTCACTGCTCTCCCTCCTCCCTGCAACCACCCACGCAGGCGAAGCCTCAGCAGAGCTCTTCGCCCTCCTCTCCCGCCTCCTCTCCTCTCCCCCCCCACCTACTGCCGCCAGACCAACTGAAAGGCTGTCTCAAAGCGGAACCACACCCCAGAGCCTATCTTCTCATTTTCTTCCCTTCTCTCATTTTCCTTCCTTTCAAGAAAGCTTCTCCTCCTCCCTCCATTCGTCCTCTGCCACTCCCGCTGTCTCCTCAACTCGACCCTCTTCCAGCCGACCCTCGTCGAGCCAACCCTCGTTGGACGAGCCGTCCTTGCAGCACTCGGCGTTGCTCTTCCTAGCGGCACGCGGTCTCCTCCCCGCACTCACCACTTTCATCTCCCGTGCTGTTGCCCACCTGCAAGCGCACGAGTCCCGAGCCATGGCACCGCTACTTGCACCCTCCTCCTTCTCGCTCACTACTTTCACCTCCGCCTCTCCTCTCACTCCCTCCTCTTCTCCGTTTTCGGCCGCATTGCCCTCGTTTGCTCTCATTCCTGCGGGTTCGTCTGCCCCTGCCTCCATGTCAGCACCCTATCCCATCCTGCAAGCTGTGCAGCTGCTGCAGCAGGCCCTGCAGCATCCCAAGCTGCAGCACCTGTTCCTTGGACTCCCCAGCTCCGATTCTGGTTACCACAGCAGCAGAGTCACCAGCGCCAGCGCCGCTGGCAGTGCCACCAGCAGCCGCAGCAGCAGCAGAAGCAGCAGCAGGGACGGGAGGAAAGGTGCAGCAGGGAGCAGGTGTCTGGTGCTGGCAGTGCGAGCGCTGGTGGGGCTGCAGGGGCTGGTGGTGACGAGGTCGCAGCTGGTGGTGGAGTGCCAGCAGTGCCTCACTCTCCTGCTACAGGCACTCATGAAGGGGGCGCAGGGGGAGGGGACTGAGAGGGAGGGCGCTGAGGGGAAGGAGCCTGAGGAGGAGAGGTGTGAGGTGAACAAGAGGGCGTTTGTGGCGGCGTGTGTGGAGGTGCTTGGGGGGCTGGTGGCGATGGAGGAGGGGGGCTTGCCGGATGCTTCTTGCGACGCGTGGCGGGCCATAGGCGTGAGTTGTTGTTTTCTGTTTGCTGCTTGCATGCATGCTGCTTTTTGTTCACAGCTGCAAGCGTGCTCGCTGCTGTCTCTCTCCACCCTCTCGCCATAGGCGTGAGTAGTTGTCTGCTGCTTGCATGCTGCTTTTCACAAGTGCATAATGAGTCGACTAAAAAATAGACTCATTACACGTTGTGGGCCATAGGCGTGAGTTGCTGTCTGCTGCTTGCATGCTGCTTTTCACAAGACATTAGCATGCTTGCTGCTGTCTCTCTTCTCCCTCTGACTCTCTCCCCCGTTCCCCTTGCTTCGTTCACTCTGCACCACCTGTGCAACACCATCTGCCTCAAGGCGCCCCGAGCCCGAATATGAGATGGTGGTGATCAAATCAAAGCAGCAACTCAACCCATTCCCCCCAAAATTGCACTTCTCTCGGCCCCCCTGTCCCCTCCCCCCTCCCCCTCCCTTCCCCCCCCTCCTCTCCCCCCCCCCCCCCACCCCCCAATATCTTGTTCACCCCTTCCCCTCCCCCAGTTCACCCTGTGCAACACCATCTGTCCCAAGCGCCCCGAGCCCGAATACGAGCTGGTGCTGATCAAAGCAGCAGCATGATCGCTCCCTCCCAAAACTCCCCCCCCCCCTCCCCTCCTGCAGTTCACTCTGCGCCACCTGTGCAACACCATCTGCCCCACTCGCCCTGAGCCCGAATATGAGATGGTGCTCATCAAAGCAGCCACGCAGGAGGAGTTCCTGCCAGGGCGGCTGCAGCACAACCCGTACTCCACTAAACAGGTACGCTGTCTGTTCGAGTGTTTTTAAACGTTTCTAAGCACCGCTGCCAAACTTCAAGCAGGTGCGCCGTCTGTTACAGGTGCATTTGAGTCGACTCAAGTACACCTGTCGTTACAGGTACCCTTCTCTCTTCTGCCGCTGCTGCGTGTATCTTCTCCAACCCACCATGTTTCCCCCATCGGTTACCAAATGTGTGCTATTGTGTGCTACCGCAGGTTGATCCTCTCGGGCGCGACGTGAAGAACCTGATATGCAAGGAGCTGGAGCTGCACGGGTTGAGGGATGGCAACTAGGGCATGGAGCTGCTGGGCGCGCTACTGAAGCTGACGTCCCCACCCCCCGCTCCTCCTTCTCCCCCTCTCCCCGCTCTCCCCCTTGCCACACGCACTGCAGGTTGGCCCTCTCATGCGCGACGTCAAGAACCTGATGTGCAAGGTGGTGGAGCTGCAGGGGCTCATGGGTAACGACTATGGCATGGAGCCGGTGGTGGTGGTGGGGGTAACGAAGTTGACCACCCTCTTTCCCCCCATATTCCATCATTCTCTTCCCTTTCCTGTACGTCCTCACCCTAAACCCTAAACCCTCAACCCTCACCCCCTCCACAGGTGGGCCCTTTGATGCGCGATGTCAAGAACCTCATCTGCAAGGAGCTGGAGCTGCACGGGCTGATGGACGACGACTATGGCATGGAGCTGCTGGTGGCAGGGCAGATCTGCTCCCTGGGGCTGTCTGTGCGCGCCGTGTACGAGCAAGTGTGGAGACAGAGGGGGGCGATGAGCGTAACCTTCCGGTTGCAGGTGCGTAATGTGCTGCTAGGGAAGTGGGTTGGGTGGGGCATCTCCCTCCCTGGGTCTGTCGATGCTAGCTGCATACGAGCAGCAGAGGGGGGCGACGAGCATCACCTCCTAGTTGCATTGCATTGCAGGTGCGTAGTGTGCGAGGTGACTTTTGAGTCGACTCAAAAGTCACCTCGGGTAGCAGTGTCTCAAAGCCCTCCTTGGGGCTGTCTGTGCGCTCCGTGTTCGAGCCAGAGTGGCGGCAGACGGGGGCGACGAGCGTCACGTCCTGGTTGCATTGCAGGTCGTAGTGTGCTGCTGAGGTAGTAGGTTCTCAAAGCCCTTCTTGGGGCTGTCTGTGCGCGCGCCCCGTGTACGAGCCAGAGTGCCGGCAGAGGGGGGCGATGAGCGTAACCTTCTGGTTACAGGTGAGTGCTTTTCTTAGGCGCCTCTAGAGTAATCTCCCACCCCTCTCCTCCCCCTTGCCATGCTGTCCCCATCGCCCGACCACACCCACCAGGGCCTAGATGGCGAGGCCACGGAGCCAATAGTGAAGGAGCTGGAGGAGGGGGGGAGGAGGCAGCTGACCCTGAGAAGGAATTCGCTGTTGCTGCTGCACTCGCGCCAGCTGTGCCAGCTGTGCCAGCTGTGCCTGCTGTGCCTGATGGTGATGGTGGTGACGAGGGGGGGGATGAGGAGCCAAGTGCAGCAGGTGGACGAGGGTCAAGAGACGTGAGGAGCCGCAGTGGAGGAGGGAGAAGTCGCGCTGAGGTCAGTCCAGACGGCCTGCTGTTGCTGCTGAGGGTGCTGGAGGAAACAGCAGATGAGGAGCTAGCAAGTGGGGAGGAGGACGTGGGTGACCTCTTGAAGCTGCTGCACACCGCGTGTCTCCTGCGGACCAATCGCCTGCATCTGCTGCGTGCCCACGCGCTGCCACGTCTGCTCGACCGCGCCACGCGTGCGGCTCTTTACGCGCATGGTGTTGCCACGTCAGCCCCGGCCGGAGGCTCAGGGCCAGGCGCGACGGCAGGTGCTGCTGCTGCTTCCCAGGCCGCGCTGGCAGGTTCGGCGGAGGCCGCAGCTGATGCCCTGCTTCGGATTGTGGATCTGTTGATGGTGGAGGGTGGTGGCTTGGGGGGTGAGGCTGGGGTGGGCACAGCAGAGGAAAGAATAAGCATGGGAGAAGCAGGGGATGAGAAGAACCATGTAGCAGCGGGGCGGGGAGAAGAGGCAGTGAGGTTGTTTCTAGAGAAGCTCACTGCGGCATCGCTCTCCCAGGCTGCTACTGGGGCGGGCTTATCTGGGGCAGGCGTATCCGGCTCACAAGCATCTGCAAGAGGAGGTGTGCCAGGAGGGGCGGGAGGGGCGGGAGGAGGGGCAGGAGGGGGGGGAGGTGGGGGAGGGAGGAAGAAGAAGCGGGATTTTTCGGAGAGTGTGGTGCGGATACTGCCGTATATGACGTATGGGGAGGGCAGAGCCATGGAGGTGCTAGTAGACCATTTCCGCCTCCTGCTGCTGGACTGGCGGGGGTTCGACCGGCTGGTAGGGCGGCAGAGAAGGGGGAGGCAGGAGGAGGAGGAGGGGTTGGCGCATGAGCACGGGTCTGGAGAAGGTGGGAGGGAGGGTAGGAGGGAGGAACAAGGCGGGGAGGAAAGTGGTCGTGAGGAAGGGGAGAAGGAGGAGGGGACTGAGGAGGCGTGTGAGGAGAGGCGGAGGCAGGCGGTGCACTGGTGGCAGATGGCGGGGCACTTCGAGCGGCTGGCCGGAGCGATCAGGCAGGATGGCAGTGGGTTAAAGCTGCGTGCTCTGATCCTGGAGAGGGGCATTCCGCAAGGTGAGTGGGTCGTGTTGAAGATGGGACACTGGTGGCGGATGGCAGGGCGTATCAAGCGGCTGGCCGGGGAAACCAGGCAGGACGGCAGTGGGTTACGGCTGCGCGCTCTGATCCTGGAGAGGGGCATTCCGCAAGGTGAGCACTGTTGATGCCAGGGCATTCTGAACGCCTGGCCGGGGCTACAGCCGGTGCTTCGTCCAGGGCTATAGCTATGAGGTTCGACAGCACTGGAGTTTAATTACGACCTCTGGCTCTTGCGAGGGGCATCTTGCAAGGTGAGTGTGTGGGTGGTCCCTTTAGGCAATTGCTGCAAATTTTTTCCCTCCAACCCCTTCCCCTTCGCATTTCCTCTAGTCTTCTCTCACTCATCCCTCCCCCTCCCCTTCCCCTTCCCCCAGCTGCTGTGCGCCATCTGCTCGCGTCCTTCCCCCCCTCCGCCCTCTCCCCCTCCTCCGACCTCTCTGACCTGCGTGCCCTGCCCTCCTGGCAACGCGCCCTCACCCTCCCGTCGCTGCCTCTCATCCTTGGGCTGCTGCTCGGGCTGTGCCACGGCCACCCCCCAACGCAACGAGTTCTGCTGCACGCGGGTGGGGAGGAGGGCGTGCTGGGTGGAGAGGAGGGCGAGCTGGGCGGGGAAAAGGGGGTTCTGGTTGGGGAGAAGGGAGTATTGCCACTGCTGCTGCTGCTGGAAGGGGTTGTGGGGAATGATGGTCTGGGAGCGAGGGCTGAAGCGCTGCTGGAAGTGCTGGGTGGGGGGGAGGAGGGGGGAGAGGGGGGCGAGGGAAGTGCGGGAGGTGGGGCAGGGGCAGGGGCAGGGGGCAGGGGCAGGGGCAGGGGCAGGGGCAGGGGCAGGGGCAGGGGCAGGGCAGGGGCAGGGGCAGGGGGGGCAGGAGGGGGAGTGGAAGGGGACGGAGCAGGGAGTCGGGGAGGTGGGGAGAGGCGGTGAGGTGGGCATGGATGAGGAGGTGTGGCAGGCGGTGGCTGCGCTGAGGGCCGGTGCCAAGGAGAGGAGGCGAGAGAAGGCGATGCGGCGACGGATGGAGCTGATGAAGGTGAGGGTGAGGGTGAGGGTGTGAGTGAGTGTGGGGTAGGAATCCCAATCCAAGGAATCTCACTCCTTTCTTCCTCATCAATCCCCCCCTCTTCTCCCCCCTTCGGGTCCCCCCTTCTCCCCCCTCTCCCCCCTTCTCCCCCCTTCTCCCCCCTCTCCCCCCTTCTCCCCCCTCTCCCCCCTTCTCCCCCCTCTCCCCCCTTCTCCCGCCTCTCCCCCCTTCTCCCGCCTCTCCCCCCTTCTCCCGCCTCTCCCCCCTTCTCCCGCCTCTCCCCCCTTCTCCCGCCTCTCCCCCCTTCGTTGCCACCGCAATTTCAGAGCATGGGGGTCAAATCCCAGCTGGCACCTACCGGGGCCCACCGCATTGTGCTGACATCAGCAAAGCCGTCAGTATCTGGGGAAGGCGCAGCCAGTGCAGGCACCACTCCAGTATGCGCAGACAAAGCAGAGGAGGGAGAGGAGGAGGAGGGCAAAGAGGGAGTGGAAGAGGAGGACGAGGAGTTTGGGGAGTATGAGGAGGTGGTTGGTGATGCCAGTGCCTCGGGTGCTGCTCCATCCTCCATTGCTGCTTCCCTGTCCGTCGCTCTCCCCCCGGCCATGCGCGCCTTGCGCTGCATGGTGTGCCACGAGGGCTACCGGCTTCGCCCCAATGAGCTTCTTGGTGCCTACACCTTCTCCAAACGCTTCTCTGACCTCTCCACCTGGAGCTTAAGTGAGTGTTCTTAGCAGGTCTTTTAGTTCTTTAGGACTCTGCGCTGCATGGTGTGCCACGAGGGCTACCGGCTTCGCCCCAATGAGCTTCTTGGTGCCTACACCTTCTCCAAACGCTTCTCTGACCTCTCCACCTGGAGCTTAAGTGAGTGTTCTTAGCAGGTCTTTTAGTTCTTTAGGTCTCTGCGCTGCACGGTGTGCCACGAGGGCTACCGGCTTCGCCCCAACGAGCTTCTGGGGAAAAGCTGAAGAACGCTAATATAGGCAATCTACGTCTAGTATAGTCCGTGTGTAATGAGTCGATTTTTTAGTCGACTCATTGCACACGGGGGAAAAAACTGAAGAATACTAATACAGGCAATCTACGTCTAGTATAGGCAGGAGGAGATTTAAGCAATCGACGTCTAATATAGGCAATCTACGTCTAGTATAGGCAGGAGGAGATTTAAGCAATCGACGTCTAATATAGGCAGGAGGAGATTTAATCTCATATACCCTACACCTTCTCCAAACGCTTCTCCGACATCTCGACTTGGAACCTAAGTAAGTCTTCCTAGTAGGTATCGGTTATTAAGTCCCTGCGCTGCATGGTGTGCCACGAGGGCTACCTGCTTCGCCCCAACGAGCTGCTTGGGGCCTACGCCTTTTCTAAACGCCTCTCTGACCTCTCCACCTGGAGTGAAGTCTTTTAGCTCTGTAGCTCTCTGCGCTGCATGGTGTGCCATGAGGGCTACTGGCTTTAGAATCTGCCCCCCAAAACAGCTTCTACCACCAGCCGAGTGGCGGTGCAGTGGTCTCTTTATACTGTCTTCCAATTCAACGCCATCCACTTCTCCTGCCACGGCTTGTCTATTTTTGAGGCGCACGGCTTGTCTCACCACCCCACCCGTCCTTTCCTCCTCCTTTTTTCCCTGTCTTCCCAAACAGCATCTACCACACCAGCCGAGTGGCGGTGCAGTGGTAGCTTTTTGCCATCTCCCATTCCTACCATTCCAAGTGCACCGACCCACCATTCCCACTTGCTCGTCTCTCCTCTGTTGCTGTCCCCTTATCCCCGTCGTGTTCTCTAAACAGCGTCCACCACCAGCCGGGTGGCGGTGCAGTGGTCGCTGTCCACTGTGTCCCACTTCAACGCCATCCACTTCTCCTGCCACGACCGGGCCAAGCGCGCCGACTCCTCCCTCAAGCCACCCAAGCGCGAGTGGGATGGTGCCGCGTTGAGGAACGGAGGCACCCTGTGCAACGCGCTCTTCCCACTCCGTGGGCCCCAGGTAAGCATTGCCTGTCAGCAGCTCTTCACCCTCCCAAACCCGAACTCTAGACCCTGTCTAGTCTTGACCGAGCCAAGCGCGCCGACTCCTCTCTCGAACCGCCCAAGTGCGAGTGGGGCGGTGCCGCGTTGAGTAGGCACTCTGTGCAACGCGCTCTTCCCACTCCGTGGGCCCCAGGTGAGAGCGTCTGTGAGCCGCAGTACCTCTCCCAACCTAAAAAGTAAACGCTAGACTGAATATGGTGGCAGAGCATCTCCTCCCTTGGCCACGTGGACGGCTCTCCATTGCACTTGTTAACGCACCTTCTTTTCTCCTTGCAACGTGCTCTCTTCCCCCCACTCACGCCGCGCAGGTCTCCCCAGCTGTGTATGCTCGCAGTCTTGACGCCTGGTGGGAGAACGTCTCTTCTCTTGGCCACCTGGACGGCTCTCGCCTGCTCGTCCTGCTCCGAGACCTGCGCACGCTGGTGGGCCGCTTCGTGCTGGGGGCCAGCTTCAGCCTCGACTGCCACGGGGGCGGGCGCGAGAGCAACGCTCGCCTCCTTCCCTTCATCCTCCACATGCTGCTGCACCTCTCGTCCACCGCCTCCTCCTCGCAACGCCACTCCCTCGACGCCTCCCTCTCTGCACTGCTTGAGATTGCTTCAAAGCTGCACTCCAGGCTCCCCCCCGCTCTTTCCTCCATCTTCCCCCATTCTTCAGCTTCTGACTCCCCCTCACCTTCCTCCCCCTCACAGCTGCCCCCCCTCCTCCTCTCCTCGACCTCCCTCTGCCTCCCCCTCCAGGTCTTCTCCTCTCTCCTCCTCCCCATTACAGTCATCTCCCCTTGCCTCCTCCCCACTACTATCTTCCCTCCTCTCCTCCTCCCCATCTGCCTCCATATCCTCCCTCTCTCCTCCTCTCCCTCGGCCTCACTCAACGCTCGCTCACTCTCAACAGTAACAGCCGCAGGGGGGGGTATGGGTGGCAGTGTGTGCGACGCCATGCTGGCAACCGTGCTGACATGGCCGCTGCACAGGTGGCAGCGGTCGCGCCACCTGTTCCTGCTGCTGGCAGTGCAAGAGGCGGCACAGGCGCATGTTGCCGGACTAGATGGCTCGGCTCTGCTGCCGCCGTCTCTAGCCTCTGTTCCTACCACCACGACTTCTGCTGCTGCTGCTGCTGCAGGTACCAGTACAGGCACGGCTTCAGAGCCGCCACCACCACCAGCACTTCGGGCAATGCTGCTCTTTGCATCTTTCGTGGACCGGCTCCATACCTTCCTAAAAGCTTCTAGCTCTACTGGAGCAGCTTCTAACAAGGATGCCGGGGATGGCAGCGAATGGGAGGGCAGGGAAAAGAGGGCGGAGAGTCAGAGTAGTGAAGTGGAAAGTGTGGAGGGACAAGGGAAGGGAGCTATGAGAGGCGGGGAAAACTCATCTCCAGTGCAAATGCCTGGGTCTTCTCCGACTCCCGTCCCTTCAATGTCAAGCCGATCGCCTGGCTCCCGCAAATCGGGCTCTGCTTCCCGGACGACGTCTCCTTTGTTGCGGTCGAAACAGGAGAATGCGGCGGATCGAGCTTGGGAGGATTTGGCGAAGCAGCGGCTGGTGGATGTGCCGTTGATGGCAAGGCTTAGCATGGAGATAATGCTATGGATGGACATTGTACACGCTTCGCCAGGACCCAGCGATTGGGATATGCTCCAAAGGATGACAGGCCCTTGGCCTGGTTCGGGCAGTGAGCCTGCAGCTGAGCTGTTCAACCATTTTGTGTCGCTTCTGTAAGTTTTGTTCACTCTAGTTGGTCTAGAAAGCGCATTGACCAAATATCTCGTGGATATTATTTTATAGATGTTAGGTACAAGAGGAATATTGGTGTACTCAGGCTAGTGTTCCTTAGTGCCACCACGTAGCAAGCTTTTCAGATCAGATGCTAATTCCTTCGAACCAACGTCACTCCATCGTCAGACGACACGCGAGCCAGCAATGTATGCACAGGTGGCGAATTGTCGTGAGGTGAGAGGATCTGTTTGCGTGGCTGGCATCTTCCTGAGCAATTTCGTCTGTGTGGTAACCTGGTTAGTTGAGCCCAGCACTAATCGCATGGATAGGCTTCAACAAATCTAAATTCGTGGATTGTTGGAGCTTGGGCCGTATTTTCAAATCTGCTCGTTTCGCGTTTCATATGTAGTTTCATCAATAACTGTAAACAGTGGTAGGATCTGATGTGTAATCGGGTCTAGCATTAACAGTGGAGTTTTATTCGAGTGTTACAAAATTTCTCCAACGTGTTACTCTTTCCCAGTGAAGTGAATCACTTGTAGCTAGTAATTTCGGGTAGGACCTAGGAGACACCCCCGAGGCATGCAAAAGCTTTGCCCAGGAAATACTCCTATCTTGAGGTTGACGAAGCGTGCTCCTTAACATTCTCATTCCTCCACCAACCACGGTCTACCTCCCAGCCATGGCGACCGTGGCCTTCTGCTCCGCGCCTAGCGTTTCCGCAAGCCTCGCGCTCTCGCGGAGGGGGAATGACGCCGGAGCGCAGCAGAGGCTGGCGCTAAGCAGCGCGGGCGTGCGAAACGGCGCGCTCGGCGTGGCTGCTCTGCGGAAGCAGTGCCGTCACAATGGCGCGAACGCTGTCCGCCAGCCAGTGCACGCCAGGGCGAGCGGAAAGGTACTTGTCGTCCATCTCTCATTATCAACGCCTTTCCTATTCTATCCATGCTGCTCGGCGCAGCTGCTCTGTGGAAGCAGCGCGTCATAATGGCGTGAACGCTGTCGCCAAGCCGTTGCAGGCCAGGGCGAGCGGAAAGGTATACCGTCAAACAGCCTTAGACAGCCATAGTCGGTCGCAATGGCCTGAACGCTGACCGCCAGCCGTCGCAGGCCAGGGCGAGCGGAAAGGTATTTCGTCAACAGCCATACACAGCCATAGAAAGCCATAGACAGACATAATGGCTTGAACGCTGTCGCCCAGCCGTTGCAGGCCAGGCTGGCGGAAAGGTACTTGTCGTCTTACTCTCATTATCGACGCCTTACCTACTATGTCAATGCTTGACAGCTTTTCTCGAGCTTCCCTGAACAACATTTTCTCGATATTTTGCTCCCTTACGACAAGATCGGCACTTGTCGGAAATTTCCTTAATTTTCCGTTTTTTTTTTTTTTTTTTTTCCACTGCACAGCCCTCCTCATCTGCAGAGCCGTCCGATGCGTCCAGCGTGGCATCAACGGTGGCAGGGAAGGCCGTCGCCGCGGTGCTAGCTGCTATCCAGGTGCGAGACACACGTTCAAACGCTTATGTGTGAAAGCGCGTTTTAAGCATCTGGAAAATCGTCTGGGTATGTATTTCCAACGGATTCCCGAGGAGTTGACTGGTGACATTCCTTGGCTTTCCCCGTCTTTCTACCTCTTACACTTCCACCAAATCTTCCCCCATCTTGCCGCCACGCCTTCCCCTTCCCCTTCCCCCTCCCCTTCCCCAAGGTGCTGGCGCCAGTATCAGCCGCGTTCGTCCCCCCTCCTGGCGCAGCCTCCCCCGGCGGAAGCGATACTGCTGTCCCCGGACACCAAGGTTCCGCGCAATGCTGACGTGGCACTCCGCCGCGCCGTGCCAGTTGTCAACGACGCGGTCAGGAAGATCCAGGTGAGGCCGGCGGTTCGGTTGTAACCTTCATTGAAACTCATTAAAGCCAGATGAGGCCGCCGCGAACTCGTTTCATACCCCTTATTGTTCCAAACCTGCTCTTTATAATCTCTTTATTGTTTCAATGCGTCACAAATTGAACCTCCTCCACTTGCGAAGTGTTTCGAACTGAACCGTTTCTGCATCCCCCATCCCCCCCCCCCTCCCCCGTTTCCCCCCTTCCCCCCTTCCCCCCTCCCCTCTCCTCGGTCCGTCCCGACCAGGATGAGTTGGAGGAGATTTTCGACTCTCATGCGCATCCCTCAGAAGAAGCCGTACAAGACAATGCAGGCCAACGTGACCAAGGCCGTCAAGGTGAGTGCTGAGGGGATCGTCGCCGCGCCATGCGCAGCCAGCCATGAAGTGGTTAATGTGCGCTATGCCAGGGCTGCAGTGCAGTGCAGCATGCACGTCCCTCGGAAGAAGCCATACAAGACCATGCAGGCCAATGTGACCAAGGCCGTCAAGGTGAGTTCTGATCTCCTCTCCCCCCCCCCCCACCCCCACCCACCTGCAACCACACCACAACCCCCGTCTCCTCCTCCTCCGCGCCCTCCGCCCTCGTCTCCTCCTCCCCCCAGGTCCTCTCTTTCATTTCCTTATCCTCTCCTCCTATAACTATCCCCGCCCTGACCCACCCTGCCCCATAGTTATTCCTGCGCAAATTAGGATGTGTTTTGTTTTTGAGAATTCTCAAAAACAAAACACGCCCTGACCCACCCTGCCCCGTAAGTCATTCCTGCGCAAATCTTCTCTCATACCATCCCCAGTGCTGTGCCACACAAACTCTGTTCTTTCAGCCTTGTAACAATCTCCCGTAGGAAGGGGCCTGAACAATCACCACTGCGGCTGGAGTCTATTTTTTAGGCACCTCAAAAATAGCCTTTGAACAATCTCCAGTCGGAAGGGGCCTGAACAATCACCAATGCGGCTTCGATGCATCTTGACACACACTCTCTCTCTCTCCCACCGTCTCTGTTTACATCAGCCAATCGGAAAGAAATCTTGAATGCGTTTCTAGTTTTGAGGCGCCTCAAAAAAAGAAATCTTGAATATTTTTCTAGTTTTGAGGCGCCTAAAAAAAAAAAACGAAATTTTGAATGCGTTTATAGTTTTGAGGCGCCTCAAAAAACGAAATCTTGAATGTGTTTCTAGTTTTGAGGCGCCTCAAAAAACGAAATCTTGAATGTGTTTCTAGTTTTGAGGCGCCTCAAAAAAAGAAATCTTGAATGTGTTGCTAGTTTTGAGGCGCCTCGAAAAAAGAAATCTTGAATGTGTTTCTTCTTCCATCCCACGCCCTGGCAACTTCCTAACCAGTCCTCCCTCTCCGCACCCTCCTCACCCGCCTTGTACCCCCAGCCTTTCCTCCTTTTTTCTTCCCTCCTTGCTTTCCTCTCCTTCCCCCCCATCCTCCTTTCTCTTCTCTCCTTCCTCTTCTCTCCTTCCTCTTCCTTTTCTCCGCTTGTTTCAGCGACTCGTGTTTGTCCCATTCTTGGTCTTCTTTCTTCTTATCCCTCCGTCTTCTCCCCCCCTGCAGTTGGCAGAAGCCAACCAGGCAGCGATTTTAGATGCTGTGCCGGCTGCTGATAAGGGGAGGGCACATGCCCCTTTCACAACGTGCCTTTATTTGCTCTTCTTCCTTCTCGTCCCTCCCGTCTTCTACCCCATGTAGTTGGCAGAAGCCAATCAGGCAGCGATTTTAGATGCTGTGCCGCTGCTGATAAGGGGAGGCACATGCCCTTTCACAACGTGCCTTTATTTGCTCTTCTTTCTTCTTATCCCTCCGTCTTCTCCCCCCTGCAGTTGGCAGAAGCCAACCAGGCAGCGATTTTAGATGCTGTGCCGGCTGCTGATAAGGGGAGGGCACATGCCCCTTTCACAACGTGCCTTTATTTGCTCTTCTTCCTTCTCGTCCCTCCCGTCTTCTTACCCCCATGTAGTTGGCAGAAGCCAATCAGGCAGCGATTTTAGATGCTGGTGGCCGGCTGCCTGATAAGGGGAGGGCACATGCCCCTTTCACAACGTGCCTTTATTTGCTCTTCTTCCTTCTCGTCCTCCCGTCTTCTACCCCCATGTAGTTGGCAGAAGCCAATCAGGCAGCGATTTTAGATGCTGTGCCAGTGGCTGACAAGGGGAGGGCAGAGGCCATCTACAACGACCTGGTTTGTAACTCCAAGGTTCGTCTCCTCGTGGCCGTTAAACACACTTTAAAGTACTGAGGCGTTAAACACACTTTAAAGTACTGAGGCGTTAAACACTTTAAAGTACTGAGGCGTTGCTTTAAAGTACTGAGCGCGGTTGCCGTTGCATGCTGTGCGTGCTGCTGATAAGGATTTTTTAGGCGCCTCAAAAAGCGTTGCACATGCTGTGCCTGCTGCTGCTGACATGGGGAAGGGATATACAGTTTCCCCAGCCTGCTAGTAGCAGCCATAGAGGACAAGGACCCTGACCGGATGCCCACTCGCCTGCTTCCAGGTCTCATTCTCTTTCCCCAGCTTCTCTTTCCCCAGCTTCTCTTTCCCCAGCTTCTCTTTCCCCAGCTTCTCTTTCCCCAGCTTCTCTTTCCCCAGCTTCTCTTTCCCCAGCTTCTCTTTCCCCAGCTTCTCTTTCCCCAGCTTCTCTTTCCCATCTTCTCTTTCCCTCCCCATATCCTCTTGCTCGCTTTCTCTGTGGAGCCGTTTTCCAGGGCTAGCAGCCATAGGGGACAAGGGCCGTGACTGCGTGTCGACCGCTTCTCCTTCTCCCCTCCGTCGAGCATAGGGTTCCGCAGAGCTGGTTCCCGCGGCCGCCTAGCAGCAATCGAGGACAAGAGCCCTGACCGCAGAGTGCTTGACAAGAGCCCTGACCACAGCTCAATTCACCTCCGTTTGTTAGAATTCTCACAAACAGAACACATCCCTGCAGAGTGGCTTCCCGGTGTCCTAGCAGCAATCAAGGATAAGAGCCCTGACGGCAGGTCAATTCACCTCGCCCCATTTCTTGCCCTTATTTTCTTTCCTCTTTTCTCCTTTTCTCTCCAATCCCTTCCTTCCAAAGCAGTTTCCCAGGCCCCCTAGCAGCCATCGAGGACAAGGATCCAGACCGTGTGTGGATTCGTCTCGCCTCATCGCTCCTCTTGGCCTTGCTCCTTCTGTTGTCTGTGCAGTTTTGAGGCGCCTCAAAACTTGTCTGTGCGCTCTTCCCTCCCTCACCCACACTTTTCAGAGTGGCTTCCTTGGCCTGCTAGCAGCAATCGTTGACAACGACCCGGACCGCGTATCAATCCGCCTCGCCTCGTCTCTCAATAACGTGCCAGCATCTCCCCGCTCATTCCTCCCCTCTCTCCTCCCCCTCTCTCCTAACCCTCTCTCCTCCCTGTCCAGGCTGGTTTCCCCGGCTGCTAGCAGCAATCGAGGACAAGGACCCGGACCGTGTCTCGATCCGCCTGGCCTCGTCTCTCAACAGCATTGCCAGCCTCTCTCTGCTCCAAGCCACGGGCCTCCAGTTCCTCATCCCCGCTCAATACGCCAGCCTCCCCAGGTGTGTTGAGGCCTTGTTTCTCATCCCTTAACTATACACGATCCTCCTCCCTGCCCAGTCAGTCTGCCAGCCCTCCCTCAGTGGGTTAGGTTCTTGTTCTTGCGGTTGCTCCCTCTCCTCCCCCTCTTCACTATTTCTCCTTTCTTTTTTTCCCACAACTTCCTCCCTTCCCCCCCTTCTATCCCCTCTCAACTCAACCCCTCCCAGGCTGACAGGGCGAGCAACAGTGGAGTTTGCAGTGCTCAAAGCGGATGGCTCCTACTTCGCCCTCGATAACGGAGCAACCTCTGCGCTCACGGGTGTGCTACAGGTTCGCTACTTCTTATGTGTCTGTGCTTCCCCACTCCCACGACCCCTTTGAGTGCTCAAAGCGGATGACTTCTACTTCGCCCTCGTTAACGGAGCAACCTCTGCGCTCACAGGCGCGCTGCAGGTATGCTTACACCCATGATTTGCGTGAGCTATTCTTTTCGTTCTTTTTCTTTCTTTATTTATTTTTCCACTCTTCACAATCCTCACTCCCCATCTCGCACACTCATCATTCTCCCTTCCCTGTGTCCCTGCTGGTGGTGCTTGATGGTCACTCTGTTCCTGTCACACAACTGGAATCTTCAACAAACGCTTATACCCTCCCCCCACCCCCCCCCTCTCCCTCTCTCATCAACCCCCCACATCATCAACCTCTCACCTCATCAACCTCTCGGCTCATCCTTCTCCGGCCTCCATGCCCCTCCCAGGTGGTGCTTGATGGTTACTCTGCTCCTCTTACAGCCGGAAACTTCGCACAGCTGGTAAGTGAAGGAGCAAGTGAGAGAGTGAGAGAGTGAGTGCGTGAGTGAGGGTGGGGAGGAGGGTGGGAGGGAGGGTGGGAGAGAGTCGGTCAATGAGTGAGGGTCAGAGGAGGAATCAGTGGCAGAGAAAGTCGAGACTGGAGAGTGCCAGGCGTGGACCCTAAGCCTAAAACCTTTTTTCGGTCCGCTCACTCTTCAATTTAAACCCTCACACCTCAATCACCAGGTATCCAGGTGGGCCTATGGCAGAGCGGCAGTGAAGGTAACACAACTACTCGCGACCGTGCTTTCTGACTCGCGAGATCCTCCTACTGCATCTCCTTTCTTGGTTTCCCACCCAATACCATGAATCATCGGGTCTCCAGACGGGCCTATGACTGCGTGGCAGTGAAGGCAACGGGCCTGGTCGTGCTATCTGACACTCGAGATCCCCCCCCCCCCACGTCCATATACCATCCCTTCCTTCCCTCCCATGTATAAAATGCATCTTAGGTATCTCGCCGTGCCTATGACGGCGTGGCAGTGAAGGCAACGGACCTGGCTGTGCTATCCGACGCTCGAGATCCCTCTGCCGGCCGGGACGTGCCCCTTGAGATCATGCCAGCTGGCGAGTTCCAACCCATCTACCGCACGCCGCTGGATGTTCAGGTGAGGAACTCGCAGGTAGACGGATGCCTGCGTCAAGGCTTGGCCTGCCTGCCGCCTGAGGAGGTGCCTCCTGAGATCAGATCGTGCCAGCTGGCGAGTTTCAACCCATCTACCGCACGCCGCTGGGCGTACAGGTAGGGAGGAACACTGAGGCTCTTCAGGCTCCGATGTGCACGTAGGGGTGGTGAGCGCTGGACTGCAATGAAAGACACTTGTGCTCGTGGTGGTGCACTCTCCCAACGTGTACGTGGTGATGCGTGTTGGGAGGCCGGGACGTGCCGCTTGAGGTCATGCCAGCTGGCGATTTCCAGCCCATCGACAGCACACCGCGGGATGTAGAGGTGAGGAGAATCCGTCTGTGTTTAAAGCCCTGGATGTGCGCTTTCCAATCTGCGATTTCCTCTCTCGTCCTTCTCAAACCCTACCCTACCTTCTCTTTCTCACCCTTACAGGACGGGGAGCTCCCAGTGCTGCCCATGTCGGTGTTTGGGGCTATGGTCATGGCACACTCCCCTGAGAGCGACTCCTTCAGCCACCCCTCGCAGTTCTTCCTCTACAAATACGACAAGAGACGGGTAGGTAGCACTGTTACTGCTCCCATAACAGTACCGTATTTTGATTTTTCTTCGTCATAAGAGCACAGAAATATTGATCTGTTTTTCTGCCTGGCAACCTACCCTTCTGCATTGCTTGTGCCTCCTTTTCTCCCTGCCGCTCAACCCGCAGTCTGGATTGGGAGGCCTTGCCTTTGACGAAGGCCAGTTCTCTGTCTTCGGGTGAGCTTGGTATTTATGGAATTTTATCATCCAGTTTCCAATGAGTCGAAAGCTGGCAGTTTCCCGTTCATGGAATCAATGGCAGCCGTTTTTTTGTTTTTGTTTTTGTTTTTCTTGTGTGTTTATGCAGGTATGTGACTAAAGGGAGGGATGTTCTCGCACAGCTTCGCACTGGCGATGTGATTCAATCAGCTCGTATCGTGTCAGGGGCCGATAGGCTAGTTGTCCCAAATGTGTGATAGGCTTTTCCTTGCTGTAACCGCTTCATTAGAGTCCTAGTAAACAAGCTCAGATCAATAAAACCGTTCTATATATTGTACAATTCACTCACTCATTGTAAGTCATATATATACAACACTCTGCTGTGAGTTAACAGAGCAGTTTTGAGCGGTCCTTGGATAGATCACCACGTACGTTATATCGCGTATGGAACTCCAGAAATGGTCATCTTGCTTTGTGCGTGTCGGCGACAGGCTTTCTAGATACCTTTTCGAAGTACGTTCTCAGACCGTGGTTCTGCTTCGCATTGCGTTGTCGATGCGTTTCGTACATCGATCTCCTCTAGTCTTCGACCTTCGCTGATGAAACTGAAACAGCTCGAGTCGCTGTTAGGAGATGTGCAGCAGTTCGACAATCCCAAGGTGGGTTTGCTCGACAATCCCAAGGTGGGTTTGCTCGACATAGGTTCGCCCGACTGATACAAGGTTGTTTTGCTCGACAATCCCAAGGTAGGTTTGCTCGAGTCGCTACTAGGAGATGTGCAGCAGTTCGACAATCCCAAGGTACTAGGTTCATTCGACAATTCCAGGGTACTAGGTTTCATTCGACAATCCCAATGTAGGTTTTCTGGTTCACCATTCCTCTCCCCAACACCGCTCGCATTCCCTTCTCATCTTCATTCCGCCTTCCCCACCCTTCAGACTGAGTTACAGCAGTACCCCACTGGACCGCATATCGCCTCTCCTCTCCCCCTTCTCCTCCGTCCTACCTCTCTCCTTCCCCCCTTCCCTCCTTCAGATTGAGTTACAGCAGTACCCCACTGGACCGCACATCGCCTCTCCTCACCCCTCGTTTTCCCCTCATCCTCACCTTCCCTTTTCCCCTTCCCTCCCTCAGATTGAGTTAGAGCAGTACCCCACAGGACCGCATATCGCCTCACGGATGCTCTATGAGGTGATGCCGTGCCATGCCAGATAACTGTTCATGGTTGATGTGCACTGTTCACGGTTGGTGTGCACTGTTCACGGTTGATGTGCACTGTTCACGGTTGGTGTGCACTGTGCATATGTTTGAAGGTGGACAGCCCTTGCGTCACCATTCTATTGTCTGGGTTCAATCGTGGACTCTTTTTGCCTCCGCAAATGGACCCATCTCGCTTCAATCCAGCCTATTTCCCTCCTCTCCCTCTCCCCCCTCCCCTGAACCCCCCCCCGTTTCTCTTTCCTTCCTTAAATACAGATTCACTCTCGCTTTGATGAGGTGGAGGGGCGCTCAGTGCTCGACCTAGGCTGTGGGTGCGGCACCCTTGGGATTGCCGCTGCCATGCTGGGAGCAGAGTGAGTCAATCACACGCTTTCATCAGCCCTGTTGTCTCGAACCAGTCGAAGTGCTCGACCTAGGTTGTGGGTGCGGCACCCTTGGGATTGCCGCTGCCATGCTGGGAGCAGAGTGAGTCAATCACACGCTTTCATCAGCCCTGTTGTCTCGAACCAGTCGAAGTGCTCGACCTAGGTTGTGGGTGCGGCACCCTTGGGATTGCCGCTGCCATGCTGGGAGCAGAGTGAGTCAATCACACGCTTTCATCAGCCCTGTTGTCTCGAACCAGTCGAAGTGCTCGACCTAGGTTGTGGGTGCGGCACCCTTGGGATTGCCGCTGCCATGCTGGGAGCAGAGTGAGTCAATCACACGCTTTCATCAGCCCTGTTGTCTCGAACCAGTCAAAGTACTTGACCTAGGTTGTGGGTGCAGCACCCTTGGGATTGCCGCTGCCATGCTGAGAGCAGAGTGAGTCAATCACACGCTTTCATCAGCCCTGTTGTCTCGAACCAGTCAAAGTGCTCGACCTAAGCTGTGGGTGCGGCACCCTTGGGATTGCCGCTGCCATGCTGGGAGCTTAGTGAGTTGATTATCATAGCAGAGTTGCAGGCAGAGTTGCAGGCAGAGTTGCAGGCAGAGTTGCGGGCAGATTTGCAGGCAGATTTGCAGGCAGAGTTGCAGGCAGAGTTGCAGGCAGATTTGCAGGCAGAGTTGCAGGCAGAGTTGCAGGCAGATTTGCAGGCAGATTTGCAGGCAGAGTTGCAGGCAGAGTTGCAGGCAGAGTTGCAGGTAGAGTTGTAGGCTAAGTTGCAGTCTAAGTTGCAGGCTAAGTTGTCCTTTTCCTCGCTCTTCAGTAACCCACTGAAGGCACAATTGCAGATTTGTTCACCATTCTTCCATGCCTGTGTGCATGTGTATTTTTCCATGCCTGTGTGCATGTGTGCGTGCATGCAGGCATGTGGTGGGAGTGGATGCGGATGAGGCGGCCATTGCCACGGCACAGGCTAACTGCCAAGAGTATGAGGTGCGTACAGGCTTGGCTGGGAGACTGAAGCAAGCCGTCTACCTCTATACCCAGATGTGCTATACAAAAAAAAAAAAAAAAAAAAAAAAAAAATCTGCTTCAACTCTTGACCAATTATAGGAGTACGTGCATTGCAGTACAGTACGATTGAACAGTGCACAGTGTGTCATTGAGGGTTTCACTCGATTTTACAGTGCATTCCACTCGAGGGCTCACCCATTCCGCACTGTTGCATCACTTATTCTGCAATTTTGTGTCGATCATTATGCAAACTTGGACATGCAGATCGACATGGACTTTATTCAGGCGAGACTGCCCCACATGCCACTCACTAGTTAAGCTTCTGGCTCCCTCCTCCCCCTTGTCCATGCTTTTCAACAGCCCACAGCAAACTCTCTTCACCACATTCCACTGTCTAAGAGCTGCTCTCAGTAGCTGTTCTCTGTTGCTTTCTCGCCTCCTGTAGCACCGATCTCCCGGTTGGCTGCTTCTGTTGACTCGTTGTTCTCGTTTCCTTCTCCCGCTCCTCCCCAACCCCACCCTCTCTGCCCCTGAAATCCCTGCCGTCTCTTGCTCCCTGCAGGTGATTCAGTGGAGGTAGTGGTGGTGAACCCCCCCTTTGGCATCAGGACTAATGGCGCTGGCATGCCATGCTCTTTCTAAGAGTTGACTCGAAAGTCTTGCCTTCTGCTCTCCCACCCTGCAGGTGATTCAGTGGAGGTAGTGGTGATGAACCCCCCATTCGGCACCAGGACTAAAGGCGCTGACATGCTCTTCCTTGCTGCAGGGCTCAAGGTAAGAGGGAATCTGGTTGACTGCAAGGCCAGAGTTGAGATGGGACAGTGGGGTGCCTTGGAAGACGCTCAGCTTTCTGTTGGCGCCAGGACAAAAGGTGCCGACCTGCACTTCCTCGCAGCAGGGCTCAAGGTGACTTTGATGGTGAGCAATCTCGTGCTTGTTTCTTTTCCTTTGGCGTCACCTTTCCTTGTGCAGCATAAGGGCAAAGAACGGCCTTCTGTGAGTTTCCTTCCGTGTCCTCTATCCAGTCCATGAGCGCCTTTCCATCCTTACTGACATCGCCTTCTTCTCCCTCTTGCATTCCACGTGTTCTGTGCTCCGGTGTCCTTGCCCTCTTGCATTCCTTCAGGCTGCATCAGTAGCGGTTTACTCACTTCACAAGTCATCCACACGAGAGGTGCCATCTTATGCCTTCCCTTACTCCGTCGCTCCCTCCCCCGTCTCCTTCCTAACACTTCGACTGTTGGACGCCCACCACGTTTTTCACCTCTTGCTTTGTTGTGCCTTTGATTTGGCTTCACATAAGTTCTTGGTCCACTACGTCCTCCAGCAATCTCGTCAGAAATGTCTTGTGTGCCTTGCATTCCGTTGCCTTCCCTTGGGTGTGGTGGGCACCAGCATGTGCAACGAGCAGCAGTACGAGACTTTGGAGCAAAGAATGCTGAAGTCTTGTATCAGGTTCGTGCTTTTGCTGTGCCTTCATTTTGAACCACCGCATTTTGTAGCCATAAGTTTGATGCAGTTGTAACGGCGCATCATAATGCAGAATTTCCCTCATTTTTCCTTGTGCAGCTTAGGTATAACCTTCCAGCAATGTACAAATTTCATAAACGGAAGGAAGTGGATATTGAAGTGGATCTTTGGCGATTTGTGCCATAGTGAGGATTAATTTTTATGGTTGGTGTTCAGCCTGATTCAGAGGCTGTGTTCTTCTCCATTCAACTGGCAATCCGCAACTGACACCACCAATCGCCGCCGTGTTTGATTGGCTGCAGTCTGTCCGATTGCCCACGGTGTCCTGGTCTGGTCGCGGGCAGGTGAGATGAACCATCCCAGATTCACAGGATATGCGTTTGTTGTCCACATAGACGGGGAGTTATTCTGAACATTCAATATTTTGGCTGGACCATTCCGCGTCTTTGGACCTAACCAAGTTTGTAACCTTGCTCAACGAAGGCCATTTTCGTGGTGTATGGATGGTTTCCCGATTCTCCTGTTAGCACGAACTATTTTCGCCTCTACGAGTAAGTTTTGCTGGAAACCCAAATGCTGACCGCAGCAAGAAAGGTCTGGCGGTTTGGCTGCCACGGCAAAAAAGTTCGGGTGATTCAACTGTAGTGATAAGAATCTGACGTGTACCAGTGAAAGTGCACCAGGCGTTCAAAGCCACATGCAGCACGGTGGGCATGGTGGAGCTCGTCGACACATGATCGGACGGTTGAGATCGGGTAGTGTCGGCTGAATCAGTGGGGATATTTTCAGCAGCTTAGTTGAACTGGTATGTCGATTGCACGTGGTGCCTCACACCGTTGATCTCCCGCTGGCGGTTTTAGCTCCAGACAGAAAGCTGGGACCAAACCAAACTAGGATCATGGAAGCCAGTGGGGAAGGTAGCTTTCTGATTTAGTCACCTGATTCACTGACAGTCTAAATTCACCCTTCCAGTATTTCCCTTCAAATCTGGCTAGATGGAGTGAGATTAGGCAGACTTGTTGGTCGAGCAATTGAAAGCAGGTCCTGGATCCATACTCCAGAGTATCATTGTCATTGTTATCTGGTTATCTTTCTCGAATTCTCTGGTATCTGGAGGCATCCGATGCCGATAACTATGATTGCTTCACGTGTCTCAAAGCTGTTGCTGAATCCCGGTCTCACTAAGGATGGCTTGTCAACGATCGCTCACATAGAGAAGTCATTCAAGTCGCATCGATCGCTGAAGCATCGTCCGTCTGCGTATTCCAAGGCGGAGCATGTCCATGGGAAGGCGATGACCATCGCTAGCATGATAGCCATGCTCGTGCTAACTCCTCCGATGGCCATGTACATGTAAGATCACGAATATTTAACTAACGACACGTCGGATTCCAAGGCGCGTATGTTTCTGAATTCGACAACACGACTGGAATCTGTTACTTACCTGCGGAAGGAACTTACTATAACTTCACAGAAATGTGGATCTCTCCTATATTGTAGGTATTGTTGTTCGTATAGCAAGGCTAGCAGACGTACCTATGCCGTACCTACTGTATACCTACTCCGTATTTCTGATTCTGGTATTTTGGGATGAACGCATGTAACAACTTAATGTGGCTGCAGGTGGTTTATTATGGCCAAAACGGACGGATCAATCCTTAAATTCTGGCAGTTTTTGCAAAGTAAGGAGTCCATCATGGATGGTCTCTTGGAGGCCTGGCCATCGCCCTTCTCCCTCATCGCATGGAAAATCATTGGCGCATTCGCAGCCTTCGAAGCACTTCTTCAGGTACGTTACTTTGAATTACAATAAAATACGTCTTCTCACGCACTGATTTCAGATTTCATGCCATGCCATAAAATTGTCAAACTATAAATATGCATTTCATGTCCTTCTCCATCTGTCACTTCGGCAGGTCCTCCTTCCTGGCAAAGAATTCGTCGGACCAGTTTCGCCAGCAGGAAACCGACCAGTTTACTGGGTAAGGGTCCAGCTTGTCAGGAGGATTCCGAGCACATCTGCAGTATACGGAACACATCGGCAGAATTTTGAACTCGTCAGAAGAATTTCGAACACATAAGCAGAATTCTGAGGGTATTAGCAGAATTTGCACGTCGCTCATCCCCGTTCCTTGCCTCTAGCCTTCATCGCCCTCGCCCTTTCGCTACTTTCCCCGATCTGCGCAACTTCTCGTCGTATTCCTACTTCCTCATCCACGCCTCTCCTCAATCCCCGTTTCCTCTGGCAGTGCAACGGCTTCCAAGCATATCTGGTCTCCATTGTCACCTACATCTTTATTTGGAGGTAGACCCAGCTTTTGTAGCCCATGCTTTATGAACCGACATGGAGTTAGCTCCTGCTCTTACAGCCAATGTTTCCTGAAGCGACCACTTCTCGCGTGTTTTAAAGTCGTCTCCAGCCTTGCTTGCTGCTTCCCTGCACGCTTGCTATGATTTCGTCATTTCCCTGCAAATTCTCACGGAAATTATCCAATTCCCCGTATCTCCCCCCATCTCTCTCACCAGAGCTGGGTGGTTCAACCCATCCCTCGTGTATGACAACTTCGGCAGCATTTTGTCTGCTCTCAATGTTGTCAGCTTCCTCCTCTGCCTCTTCCTCTACGCCAAGGTATGCTCCCTCACGCTTAGTGGGTCTCGTACTTGGATGAATTCTGCGCGAATTGTTTTGATCGACTTGAAACACACCTCACGCTTCTAGGGTTCTTCCTTCAACGAATTCTGCCCGAACCAGACATTAGCTCCTTACCGTCCATCTATATGGCCAACAGGCTGATGACTCACACTTCCTGTTGCTCGTCTGGCTCGTGCAGGGTAACCTGGCACCATGCTCGTCCGACTGGGGATCGTCTGGAAACTTCGTACAAGACTTCTTCTGGGTGAGAGTCCACTCCCTTCCTCTTGCCTCTGTCGTCTGGCCCTCAAGGCGTTCACCAGCTGGCACTTGGGGACAATGTGACCTTTGTGTTGCTACCTGCCTGTACGACTGCTGCCCACGGTTCTCCCATTTCTGGGCATCGAGCAGTACCCGCGCGTCGGCACGATGTGACTGTGTGTTGCTGTCTGCCTGCACACTGATGATATTCCTGGTGTGGTACTGTACTCCGCTTTCAGGGCATGGAGCTGTACCCGCGCATCGGCAAGTATTTTGACATCAAGACGTTCACCAACTGCCGCTTTGGCATGATGTCCTGGGCGCTGCTGGCCGTCACGTACGCGATCAAGCAGGGCGAGGCGAACGGGCGCGTGGCGGACTCCATGGTCGTGAGCGTGGCGCTCATGCTCGTGTACATCTCCAAGTTCTTCTACTGGGAGTCCGGGTACTGGGGCACCATGGACATCCAGCACGACCGCGGTGAGTTGCTGCGGGTTTCGGATTTTCCCCTATGCCTGAGCGATAAACGCCTGCGGATTCAGGGTTTCGGGTTTGCCCCCTCGCGTTCAGTCATCTTTTCGCCCCCTTCGCCAGTTTCCTCCCCCCCTCCCCTCACCTTCCCTGTGAACCTCTCGATCCCCTCCCTCCCGCTGCTCACTCCAGCGGGCTACTATCTGCTGGGGTTGCATGCTGTGGGTGCCCTGCATCCCCAAGTGCTACCTCCGTGCTCCCTTCTTTCTCACCCCTTCCCCTTTCCCCTTCTTCCACAACTTCCTTTGCTGGTCTCACCAGCCGGCTACTACCTCTGCTGGGGCTGCATGGTGTGGGTGCCCTGCATCTACACCTCTCCCGCTCTCTACCTCGTCAACCATCCCCTAGAGCTAGGCACTCCCGTGAGTACCTTACCCTCCTAAACTTGCTCTTGCGTGTATCTCCCGCCTTTACTTAGCTTTGCTTGGCCCTGGGCCCTCTACTCCTTCCTTCGTTTCTTCACTCCCTTCCCATTCCTTACACCCACTCTCCCGTTTGTCCTCTCCTTTCCATTCGGGTGTTTAACCCTTTTTCTCTTCCTTCTTTCTCCCTCCTCCTATCATCCCTTTCGCTATCCCCCTCTCCCAACCGCTCTTATCTCGCCATCCCCCCATCAGGTCGCCCTGGCCATGTTTTTGAGTGGCTGTGCATGCATCGCAATCAACTATGACTCTGACCGCCAACGGCAGTACTTCAGGTCCACACACGGCCGCTGCACCATTTGGGGCCGCCCACCTGCCAAGGTGCGCTTTCTAACAAGTTGTGTTTATTGTTCGGCCATCTCCAGATGTTCCTTCACGTCGATTGTTTCTAGAGGGGCCTCAACATGTTCCTCCCATCTGTTTTTTGTGCCACAGATAGAGGCAGAGTACATTACAGAGAAGGGCGAGAACAAGAAGAGCTTGCTGCTCGCTTCAGGATGGTACGACCCACCCTCCCGTTTTACCCATTCAGAGTCCAGCATTCCTCGCATATGGGTCTCGTCTCCTCCAGACGTTTCAGTCCTTCATCAACGCTCCCACGGATTTTCTCCTCGTTAGGGTGACCCTGTCCCCTCCCCGCTTCCATAGCCCCTTCCCTTTCTCCTCCCCTGATCCGCTTTAAAGCTTGCTGCTGTGTGCATTGTACTCGCCCTTGAACCAAGTGGGGCCTCTCTCACCACTTCCACTATGTGCCAGAAATCCTTAGAGTCGACTGGAAAGCATGAATTTCTCCCCTTCCCTGCTGTGTGCATGGTGTACTATTACATGCTCCTAACCCAGGTGGGGTCTCTCTCGCCACTTCCACTACGTCCCAGAAATCCTCGCTTCCTTCTTCTGGACCTTCCCAGCACTCTTTGATAATGTAAGTCGTAGTTTCCTACTGTTGTCCTATTTTGAGTCAAAACCATCCTCGCTTCCTTCTTCCGGACCTTCCCAGCGCTCTTTGACAATGTAAGCCGCAGACAGACTAGCTGATAAAACGGAAGGCGTAGGTCTAGACACTGTAAGGCTTAGACAGTGTAAGGCGCCGTTTCCTGTGCTGGGAAGGGCCATTGCGGCAGTGCAGCTGCTCGATTTCGGATAGGATGCTTGTGTTTGTGCTCCTGTGTCCTAGTCTACAGATTTCTGCTTCTTTCTTCTCGTTTTGCTGCACTAAAACGAAATGATTTCTTCTGCTGCATATACTTCACCATTCTCCTACTGAACATACTCTGACAGCTGTATACTCCTTTCTTTTCTCCCTGTGCTGTGTGCGGTAACAGGGTATCCAGTATTTCTACTGCATATACCTTACTGTTCTCCTATTGGACCGTGCCGTTCGTGATGACGTCCGCTGCAAGAAGAAGTGAGTCTGCCACTGACTTCTGAATCAACGTAAATGTCGCCTCTTTTGTAACTTGAAATTAACTGCAAGAAGAATCGAATCTGCCTCTGATTTACTCAGACTGGTATAGAGGGGAGTGCCTTTGTTGGCACCACTGTGTTCTCTGGTGTTACCCCGCTTTTGCATGGGCTTCTGGTTGCAGTGTGTCATCCCACTCATACCCCTTCTCCCTGTCCACTCATCTCGCCGCCACCATGTTACCCACTCCTCATCTGTGGTTTTTCCAGGTATGGCAAGTTCTGGGACAAATACTGCAATTTGGTGCCATACAAAGTGATTCCAGGCATCTTTTGAGATTGCACCTCGTCTGTGTTCAATGAGATATCTCAGTGCTCTACTGGTTGATTCCATTTTTTCCTCTGCCCATAGTCGGGTATGAGATAATTCTTTCCCCCCTCATCAAGCTGTTTGAAGTCATTATTGTGAGCACTCACCTTCTATTATTTAATGGAAAGAGGGTAATGATAACGTAGAAACGAATGATTACTAGAGGTGGAAACCTAGAACAAATACTAGTTGGTTGTACTCACTAGAAGCATACCTCAGTCTAGCCTATAACTTCTACATAGGTAATATGTATAAGTTGACACACCCCCTAGGCTAGACAAGGGGTGAAACTAAACAAGAAGCAAACAGCTCAGGGCGGCACTACTAGTCCAACCACTGAGGCAGGGGTCTGGAGACCAGTCAGCAAGAATACAACCAAAACTGAAGCAAGCCAGGGTGGCACTACTAGTCCAGCCACTGGAGGTAAGGCCACAAGGCCAGTCTGACAAGCATATATAATAGAGAGTACACAATCAGGATCCTAACAGGGGAGCAGCTACAGGAACAAGACCAAGCTGTACACAGTGCCGCTGATGATCTTTAGGCGCAAGCGCCTTAGTAAAGATATCAGCTGTGTTGGCACCTGAGGCCAAGTGAACTACGCGGGCCTGGCGGCGCTGCTGTAGCTCGCGCAGGAGGAAGTACCGCAGCTGGATATGCTTCGCTCTGCCCTCAAGCCGAGGCTCCTGACACAGGAGTATCATGGCCCTGTTGTCAGCGTACAGGACCGGGGCAGAGCTAGGCCGCTCACCTAAGTCTGTGAGCAAGAAGGTCAGCCAGCGGAGCTCCTGTGCCGCCATGGCACCAGCGTAGATCTCAGCCTCACAGCTAGACTGAGCCACAGACGACGAGCGAGTGGATCTCCAAGAGATAGCACCCGAACCAAGGCTGAAACAGTAGCCCTGCGACGACCTGAGCGTCTCAGCGTCGTCTGCCCAAGAAGCGTCTGTGTGCCCAGTAAGGACCACTGGCCTGCGTCCTCCTAGCACTAACCCCATGCCTGATGTACTAGCAAGATAACGCAAAACCCTCTTAGCGGCAGACCAGTGCTGAGGTCGGTGTCTGCCTGTAGCCACAAAGCGAGCCAGGATGCTGAGAGGGTATGCGAGATCTGGGCGAGTGCAAGTCATCAGGTACATGAGGCAACCCACCAGCTCTGCGTAGGGGCCACTGGGCTCTACTGGCTCCTCAGGAACGGGAGCAGAGAGCCCATGGTCTACGGGTAGAGGTGTGGGCTGTGCGGAGGAGAACTGAAGACCGAACCTCTGAAGGACCTGACGCACCAAGTGTGACTGGGTCAGAGTGATGGTGCGTGCTGCTCTGTCCCTAGAGATCTGCAGGCCAAGATAGCGACGCAGCTCTCCAAGGTCAGTGCAGGTGTGTCTCTTCAGCAGCTCAGCCTTCACAGAGGCCAGTGCGTCCCTGTCAGGAGTAGCGAAGACCAGGTCGTCTACGTAGACAAGGATGTAGAACGGAGTCTGGCCGGAACGCACAAACAGTGAAGGGTCAGCAGAGGACGGAAAGAACTGCAGGTCTGCTAACGTGGCACGTAGCGTGTCGTGCCACTCGCGGGGAGCCTGACGCAGGCCATAGACCGGGCGCCTGAGAAGCCACTGGGTCCCAGGAGGGAAGGTACCAGTGAAGCCCTGTGGTCGGCGCAGGTAGACCTGCTCGTGTAGGCTGCCCTGAAGAAAGGCAGTAGAGAAGTCGAGGGAGTGAAGCTCGTAGTCACGCTGTGCTGCTACGTGTAGCAGCGCCCGAAGAGTGGTCATCTTCGGGGTCGGGGCGAAGGTCTGGAAGAAGTCCACCCCCTCGCGCTGACTGAAACCTCTGGCCACGTAGCGCGCCTTGAAGACAGGCGGCTCTCCAGGGGGGCGCTTCACCTTGAAGAGCCACCGACCATCGACTACGTTCACCCCAGGCGGGGGAACTGCGTCGACGTAAGTGCCGGTGGATCTCCAAGATGCCATCTCCTGCTCCATGGCAGCTATCCACTGAGAGGCCCAAGGTCCCGAGGTGGCCTCAGCGTAGGTGCGAGGGGTCGGGATGTCGAAGGCGTCTGGGTCACCCTCAGGGACTAACAGCATGGAGCAGAGATGGGGAGCAGCCTCGGAAAGGAAAGCCAGCTCGTACTGCCTGTCCTCTAGGACGTCACTGCCAAGGGCAGGAGCACCCCCGACGGACGGAGGACGGGCAGGGTCAGAGACCAGAGCGGTAGCGTAGTCAAGGCGGCGGGTAGAAGCGAAGTCAGCGACAGCAGCGACAAGCGCGTCAAGGCGCGAGACAGGAACAGTAGGGTCGGTAACAAGAGAGGCAAGGACCCGAGGGACAAGGGGACGAGCAGAACGGAGGTAGTCAGAGAACGGAGGAGGTGCAACAGCAAGGGACGAGGGAGGAGGGGACGGGAGGAGGGGAGGACGAGACGAGTGGGAACGGAGCAACATAGGGTGGGTGGGCAGGACAGGAGAGACGGGACGAGCACGGGAGGGACGGCGAGCCCAAACGTGAGACGGAGGGGTAGGGTCAGGGGACAGCGGAGGAGACACAGGAGGGGAACGAGGAGGAAGACGGGCCGGAGACGAGTCTGGCGGCGGGAACACAGGACCGTAGACAGGAAGGTCAGGAGGCGGTGGGGGAGACACCGGCGCGCGGTCCGGGGAGGGAAGGCCGAGCAGGCGGAGAGCGGAAACCGGCGGCGACGGCTGCTGCGGCGGCGACGACGGCTGGGCCGGAACTCTCGGACCAGCAGAGGCAGAACGAGCGTCGGCAGAACACTCAACAGCAGCACCCCCAGAACCAACACCCCCAGAGCGAGAACCCCCTCCAACACCAGCGGCACCCCCAGAAGCCGCAGGACGAACACCCTCCTCCACACCAGCACCCCCAGGGGCCGAGAGCAGCGGCGGCAGTGGCGGCAACGGCTGCGGCGGCGGCGACAGCGGCGACGGCTGCGACAGCGACAGCGGCGGCGGCGGCGACGACAGCGGCGACGGCTGCGGCGGCGACGGCGACGGCGGCGGCAGCGGGGTCGGCGACTGCGACAGTGGGGGCGGAGGCACCGGGGAAGGGGGACGCGGCAAGGACGGACCGGGGGTACCACCAGAGTCAGCAGACTCCTCAACGGGGACAACCGACGGGAGGGGAGTGACGTGGGAGACACCAGACGGGGCAGGACGAGGCGGGAGAGGGGCAGGGGCTACCGGGGGAGAGGGAGCAAGGAAAAGGGGGGGGGCAACTGGGAGACCTCGGTGAGGGAAGCGGCGGTAGAAGGAGACGGACTCGTCAAAGGTGACGTCACGAGAGTGGAGGAAGCGGTGAGACGGCGGGTGGTAGAAAAGCCAGTCAGACGAGTCCAGGGGGAAACCGAGGAAGACACAGGGGACAGTGCGGGCAGTGAGCTTGTCCGTGCCAGAGGCACGAACGTGAGCAAGGCAGCCCCAGACGTGGAACGCAGACGCGTCACCGGGGGACCCGGTCCAAAGGAGGGTCGGCGAAACCTGCGGTCGCTGGGAGCGTGGCCACAGGTTAAGCTGGTGAGCCGCGTAGCGAACAGCGAACGGCCACAGAAAATGGGGGGCATCGGCATGGATCATGGAGGTACGGGCGACCTCCATGACCAAGCCGATGCGGCGCTCAGCAACCCCATTCTGCTGTGGCGAGTCCGGCAAGGTGTACGACTGGGTGATGCCCTCCGCACGACAGAACTGTCCAAGCCGACCAGAGGCGAACTCGCCGCCACGGTCGGAGTGGAGACACAACACGGGGAGACCGCGGTGGAGACGCGCAGCCACAACCCACGGGAGAAGAACGTCGGGCACGTCGGCCTTCCGCTCCAGGGGAAACACCGTGGTGTAGCGCGTGTAGTCGTCGACGAGCACAAGGAAGTAGCGCTCACCGCGCGGTCCGGGGACGGGGGCAGGGCCCCAAACGTCCAAGTGCAGGGTCTGAAGGGGGGCAGTAGCAGGACGCAACGAGGAGGAGTGAGGAGCACGGCGGAGCCGACCCTCGACGCAAGGCGTGCACGGTGGCGCAGTCGAGGGAGGAATGGCAGGGAGCGACGCGGGGAGACCTAAGACAAGACCGTGCTGGGACATGTGACGCAGACGCGGGAGAGCAGGGTGACCTAAGCGGTGGTGCCAGAGAAGGGACGGGTGAGTGAGGGACCGAGACGAGCAAGCTGCAGCGACCTGGGAGGACGCACCAACCGGGGGGGAAGCGGTGTGTAGGGTAAACAGACCGGACACCGGGTCCCGGGGGAACGTCGCAAGGGGGGAACCTGAGACAGCCTCAGAACAGACAGCGAACCGCTCGTGCCCGGGGAACGTGGTGGTGACGCCGAGGTCCTGGAGACAGCCGACACCAACCAGGTTCCTGGAGAACGAGGGAACGTGGAGGCCAGTAAGGGAGCCCGAGGGAACTGCCGGACAAGGAAGGGACGTAGAACTGCGCGCGACGACCGGACCCGCAGAGGGGTCAGCGAGAGAGACAACAGCAGGTGCAGCAAGCGGCGTGAGCGTGGAACGGTCGCGGAAGAAGCAGGCAGAAGCACCAGAGTCGAGAGTGAAGGACAGCGACGCAGTGGCGGAGGCCGCGGACGGAGCCGGTGCAGCGACTAGACTAGGCAATCTAGGCAGTCCTACGCCTGTCGCAGCAGGGGAAGCTAAGCTACACAAGGGTGAAACACCTAAACTAGAGTACACAGGGTAGTAAGATCCAGCAACACTAGAAGCGTCAGCATACAAAGCATGCAAAGCAGCACCTATCTGATCCATGTCTAACTCAAAGATCGGCACGCCCTGGCGGAGTAGGCTGTGCCAGTCAGGGAGGTCCGGGGCCGGGCCAAAGCGACGACGAAAAAGATCGTCGAGGCGGCGGAAACAGCGGGCGGTCGGGTGCGGGCGGCGGCACAGAGTGCCGCGGAGAGGCCCGGTCTGAAGCTGGTACTGGCAGGTCACAGCACTGGAGCCGCTGGTAGACGCCAAGCTGCGCGGGCCGCCACCACGGCCACCGCCTCCGGAGGTGCCGGGCCAACCAGGCGGGAGACGAGCCCACGGCTGCGGCGGGTGCTGCTGGGACGGCGGCTGCGGCTGGGGCTGGTCCTGCTGCTGCTGGGGCTGCTGCTCCTGCCCAC